GTAAATCAAACACAGCTGTAAGATTTCCCCAATTCAGGACAATTGCACTCAGAGCCAAACAGGTGGGACAGTATAACACAGCACTGCACTCTGCCTGACTTGCATTTGAGATTTCAGTCAGGTATATCTGAATGGCCATCCTTGCACTCAAATACCTTCTCAATACAGTTTTCCCACAAATGACAACTGAAATTTTAGCATCAAAGACAAAAACCCAAAAAACTGCAGGATGAGAGGCCATTTTCCATCACTCCTGCTCAAAAACCTGATGTTTGTTCTCAGTCCCAAGCAGCCCACTAGATCGTCCTGCGCTCCAACCACAACCTAATAACTTCAGTCTGTTCCCAAAGCATCTCCAAAACCTCAGGAACCACGAGCTCAGTCCTACGGAAACATTTCCTACATCATTCAGTGTAAAGATATACTTTTAAGTAAAAACATGAGCCATAACATGAAAATACTAATAATTTTTCCATTATTTAGCAAAAAATCCTGATCTGTAACACATCTCAAGTCCAGCATTTTGGAGCACGGTAAGCAAAATATCGTTCTTTCTCGAGGTGCTGGTACGTGACCCTCGGTTCCAGCAGATGGAGCTGCAGAAAGGCAACGAGGCCTCAGCACGGAATTCCCAGCACCGTCTATTGGACACCCCCATGTAACAGCATCCAACAAACCGCTTTGGGACGCTTTGTGAACGTTCTGCTGCACGTTCAGAACTTCCCGACACACCACGCAGATTTGCAAACTCTTTTTCACACAGACGGTGGTGACGCACTGGAACAGGTTGCCCAAGAAGCTTTTGGATGCCCCATCCCTGAAGGCATCCAAGGCCAGGCTGGATGTGGCTCTGGGCAGCCTGGTCTGCTGGTTGGCGACCTGCACACAGCAGGGGGGTTGAAACTTGATGATCACTGTGGTCCCACAAGTAAAACCTGGCGTGGCCCTCAGGGAAGAACGCGATGCGTACACAGAAGTTCGCGCGCTCTGCTGGCAATGCGAGCACACGTGGAAGGGCCGGGCTGCAGGCCGGCAGGGCGAGGCGCGTCGCCCCGCTCCGAAACGCGACGGCAGAGACAAAGACAGACGCGAACGCAGCTCCTGAAGGGCTGCAGCACAGGTACGGCATTTGCACAGACCTCCCACGCGAGACAAGGGAGGAAAACAAGCACCTGAAAGAAAACGGCGGTTCCGCGCCCTCGGTGGCGCCGCGTGTTTGGGAAGCGCCGCTCGCCCGGCCCTCCGACCCCCGGCCGAGGAGGTCGGCGCTCAGCCACCCGAGCCCGTGCCGCGCCGTGCCGCGCCGCCCCCCGCGGCCCGAGATGAGGCGGCCCCGCGCCCCCCGCCCGCACCTGGCCCGCCCGCTCCGGCCGCTGCCCTCGGGAGGCTCCATGGAGGCGTCGCGCGGAGCTCCGGCGGCTGCAGAAAAGACACCCGCGCTGCCGCCGCCGCTCCCGCTGCTCCCCGGCGCGCGCGGCCGCCGCAGCCACCTGGCATGATGTGAAACGGCGGCGGCCGGGAGCCTCGGCGCATGTTCGGGCCGGGCCGGGCCGGGCCCCGCCGGCGGACCGCCCACACAGGTGAGCGGCTGCGGCGGCGCCGCCCCGAGGACTGGTCGCGAGGCGCCGCGAGCAGGTAGGTGCGGGGCTCCGCTGCGGGACTCGGCCTCTTCTCCCGCGCGGGGTCGTCGCGCGGTGCCGCCTGGCCCGAGCCCAAATTCTCACAGGTCATCGAGAATTTTATCAGAAATTTTAACAAAAATTGAGGACAGTAGTGCAGGTAAGCAAAAGGCACCGTCAGCCATAAGGGAATCCATCCCGAAGACGTTTAACTTCAATTCAGTGTTAAGACTGTGAAGCGATTTCCAGACCGCAACTAAAAACCACGTGCTAATAGCCAGGACACTCTTGAGAAATTCCAAGAGTGACGTTTTACAATTTGCTCTTGCATCGCTGCTGGCAGCAGGTTGGAATTCGGGCTACTGCCTCCCGTTGAGAGGAGCACGGCACGGCTCCTCGCTAGCCCAGGGTTGGATGGACGGCTGCCATGTCAGCGTGCTCCAGTGGCCGTGGGTGTGAAGCTGGAGCCTTCCTGCCCGCAGCACAGCAGCTGGACAAAGCGGTGCCAGCCAGCCGTGCACACAGCCCAGGTCAGCATGAACAGAGTAAGGACAACTTCATTTACAGAAGCGTAAAGAAAAAAAAAATAATGCTGAGACAATTTAAGCTACACATTGATGCGTGATGCTGAAAACAATGCGATCATCTGTTGTATTATAATCTTAGCATTCAGGTTGACAGGGTAACAGTTTGTGGAAGGAAATGAGCAAAGGAAAAAGGGAAAGGTGAACACACACACAGAGCAGGGAGTGGCAGGACAAACAGGAGGACGAGGTTGACATAATGAAACAATGGGCGTATTAGAGAACAGTGGATTTTAAGGTTGAAAAAAGTCTTTGATTAGCTGAACATGGTTCCTGAGGTCTAAAATGTGGGGGAGGAGTCCTGGGTCTCACTCCAGTACACAAGGGCAGCTGGGTAGAGAGCAAATGGAAAGAGTGCATTTAATTAATGAATTCTTTTACTGACAGAAAAGCGAGAAAGCTGTCAGTTTGCAAAGAGTCTTAAAAAGATCTCTTGCTGTTGAGACAGACCTCTGAAATAAAGGTTAGAATTTCAACCCGTGTTAATCAGCAAACTAAATCCTCAAGCAAGTGTATCTTGCTCAGAGCAGCATTTTTGGCCGAATTCTTAATCTACTTTCAGTTTGAACAGTCCCAGAGTACAACCAGCTCCTTATGTTGAATCTTCCTTACCTGTGGAATATACACAAGTAAAGCAGCACACGATTGTTACTACAAACAGAAGTGCCTTTCAATTTCAGCAGTTACACAATATACTGCCAGGCCCTCTGTCATTTAGAAAACAGGAGGAGGATTAGCATTAAAAAGTGGTTTGTCCAAAATCATTCAATAATTCAACAAGAGATAATTGGAAACATCTTGACCTCTTAATATCCAAACAGTGCAGCATTTTCCCATCCATCAGCTACAGGATCTTTAAAAGCTAATGCTTTTCATTTTCAATTCAAAAATCCAAGGTCCTAGCAGCTCAAGATCTCTCACTTTTACTGCAAGAGCTGTTCAGTAACACCCATACAGGTAATTAACATTCCACTCTACTTACCCAAAAAGTAAGTTTCAAACTTGCATCAGGAAGGATCTTCAATTTGGGAAGATTTCTGTCCACTTCAATTAATAGCTGCTGACAATCTCCTTTACTTTATATTTTGTGATTTACAATTGCACAAGACAAATCTTCTTCCATGGTAAACAATGGATGCATAGGAATCCCAACCATCACTCTGATAAACAACAGAATTAAATTCAAGAGCATTCCGTGAAGACTGGAAATGACAACATTTTGAAGATGAGTTACTTTTCTCATTTTACCCTTTCATAATTTAGCTCTGTTTCCTTTATTATCTAAAAATGATATCAATGAAAAATACTGCTCTGTCAATATTGTAAAACACAATGCACACATTGGAAGATTCAGGCTAAAGAATAAAGCATTCCAATACTGAAGTTATAGTTTTGCTAAAATTCTTCATTCTGAAACATAGAATTTTAACTTTCAATAGCTAAATGAAACTATTGACAAGTTAATGGGGAAACAACAGCAGGCAACATGGTTCTGACAAATGGATGCTATTTGTGTGAAGAAGTGACATATGGCTGGCATGTCAGGTGGCAAAGGATGGCAAGGAAATGTGTATAACCAAAGAAACCAGGAAGTCCAATATTGATGTTGCACACAACAGATTTTAAGAATTGAGCAGAAGCATTCTTTGTCACATCATGTCTCCAGGCTTAAAGTAGCAGACAGACTCCTAGACAACTTAAAGTCAACTCAGTATATCAGGTCCTTTGTTAAGCACCTTTATTGCCTTTTTATTCTGTCAGTACTTGGCAGTGATAACAGATATTTAACATTAATTCCCAGTACATGCCACCGATACAATTTCTTATTAAGTTACTTTGCATTGGAAATGTAGCTGTCAGGTGGCCAATTCATCTGCTAAACATTAGATAACCTCTTAAATAAAAAGTGCAATGGTTCGCTGTGAATTCAGTGAACTTTTACATGACAGAACCTCAGAAGACAGTAAATCAGACAAAGACAGAAAAGGATATCAAATTTATCAAGATGAACAGCAACTACTTTCAGTTTCATATTAGATTCATATGGACAGCTCAAAACTTGCAGGGAAGACAAGGTTGAAAGCAGCACAGTCGGAGGCAAAAGTATGTCCAAGATGTGAACTTGGTAGAGGATTGGAAAAGAAAAAAACCTGCCCACAGGTGGTTGCAAATGACCTCCAGGCTGTGTATGAATCCAATGAAATTAATGAAAATATTACATTGTCTAAACCAACAGATGCATCATTAAAAAGATAACCAGAAAAAAATACATATTTGGGACCACTTAGATGAGTACATTGATATTGATCACATCTGTAACAGAAGTATCAAGACATGAGAGACTGCTGGAACTCCTGAACTGCTGACCAAGCAGTCTACATCCACATTGTGACACGAAGATGTGACACACCATATTGAGAAGAATACTCTGGGTCAAACTGAAGATTTACCAAGCCAAGAAAACGTGCTTTATGTTGAGAGCACATAATATGCTGACATATCTTCACAAAGGAATATTAAGGATGGAACATTTGAGCGTTGCAAACCTTGTGCAGGCAAAAATCCTGAGGCAAACGTAGCATGAATTCTCACTGAAGCTGCCATGACTCCTAATGAAGCAAGTGACAAATGGGATTAATATGCACTGCAGCTAACCCCACTGTTGATGCAGCTTGTTTCTTGGAAAATGAGCCACCTCCCATCAGACTACAAACAGCACCTTCTCACGTTCACGTTACATTTGCCTGTTACTTTACAGCTCCGCACCCTTTTGAAAAAATAGGCAAACAGTTCACACTTCTGTACTTAAACTTTATTTCTTCATAATTACAGGCTATTGTTAGAATTTTTAAACAAAAGGGAAGTCTATAAATAGAGGCTAATCCCACCTGAACAAGTTTCTTTTTTTAAAAAAAGTTAAAACTTCATAAGTAATGCCATTTAGCTCACAGCAGTGGTTTGTTGGTAGTCTGAGTAAAAGTACTATAGTCAGAGTCAGTAACATGAAATGTAACATCAAATGACTCAAAACTTTTAAATTCCATAAAGGAAAGCAAGAATATATATATAATATATACATAATAATATTGTGTTGGTCCACTGAGTATACATTTTTTAACAAAAGATAAGAAACTATGTAATCCAGTTAAGCATGATTTGCAAGATTAGTGTACACTCATTACAGAGATGTATAGATAAGTTTTAACTATTTAATCCTTGCAAAAATTTGAGTTACCTTTTTTGAGCAGGTGTTTAAATGCTCATTTCCCAGTGCAAAAGAAAAAACATCGCAGTCCGGTTCCCCATTTTCCTGATAAACTGAAAACTATCAAACTCTTTCAACAGCAGCATTGGCAGATAATAGGAAGAGGTTAAGTGTATTGAAGCATGGCTGGGTCCAACTCCTCCTCCCAGTGCTGTGTGTTGAAACTTTTCCATTTCCTCAACAGAAACACCACAAGTTAAAAGTGCAAGAAAGAAATAAAAATCTCTTGATGCTTATGCTGCTGCCATCCATTTTTCTTAGATAGGGCAAAAGATTATTTTTGGAATTATTTTAATTAAACCAATTCTCCAGAATGGAGTTCTTTCAAAGTGAACAATAAGTTACTTTCATTAAGTTATTTTCATTAAAATCATATCAATCCCACTCAGTGACCATTAAAAAAAAAATAAAGCAGTTTAAGGTGCAACTATCTGTTGGCATTCAATAAATTACACATATAGGAAAAAAGCAACCTTTAAAAAAATAATGAAAAAGATAATCAGACGTTTTCTTTCTATTCTCAATCTCGTTTCATTTTCAACTTACTATCTTGCCAGTGAACGGGCAAGCAATCTTGCCAATTACTTATCTGCATATTTCACAAGCAAAACCGGCTCAAAGAGCAGCGGGGCCTTGTTATCTGACAGTCATCTTGGCCAACAGCAAATGCACACAAATCTTCCATTTAATTGCTTTATAAAACAAAGTAACTGGTCTTAAAACCTACGACCATGCAAGAAAAGCATTAAAGGTTTCTGTAAGACACACTCTTTTTGACTTGGATTCCATGAAGATTGTAACAGAATCTTCAATGAAGAGAAAAAAAAATAAATCAATATGCATCCATATAAAATAAAGCACTCCACAACTCTGGCATTACTAAAATCTTTCTAGAAGAGATTTCAAATGACTAACTGCTTGATGGGAGACAATCAGCCATGGCAGAATAATTGCTGTGTTCGCTTTGTGTTCAATTACCAACTGCTGACGGATTACAGTCAAACTAATGTCTCATTTTCTGCATTTTCAAACTGATTTGCTTACATCTGGGAAATGCTCCTTATTTTCCTGAAAACTTGAGAGAAACTGAATGCTAGAATTAAGTTATTCAAACAATAAAAATAACCAAAAGGACTGAATTTAGCAGGAACACACCACTTTCAAAAGTTTAAATCCTTTCTTAATTTTTGTGTATATATGTAATCTTCTGATTAACATTTAAATAGGTTAGGTATTCAGGAAAAGGGACAAAACAGTTGACATATGACAACATCTTATTCTAAACTTCATGCTTCTGATATTTCAGATTTACTGAGTGCAATAGCCAGTTCCAAGTCTTCTTGCTCTTGCTGTTTTAGTCTTGCCAATCTTTCTTTCTCTTCTCTCTCGCTTTCCCTCTTAGCCCATTCAATCATGTCTTCCTCAGTAGAATACTGCATTTTTAAAAGACAAAATAATCAGATTAATAATGCAATAACTAATCTTGTTCTTGGTTTAAGTGAGTGTCAGTAAAACATTTGACATACTACAGTTTTTGAACATTACTTGCTTTCTATTGTCAGTAAACTATTACTATTAGCTTAGTTCAAGGTTTAACTGTTAAGAACTGCACTAAAGCCACCCTATTGCTCTGTCTTTCATTTAATACACTGTATTTCAAATTCAGTATTAAGTTTTGATAAAAGGTTGCAGGAGCAGCAAGTGCAATACTTTAAAATTGAACTATTTTTGAATAACAAACCAGTCTATAAAAATTCTGAATGAATGGTGAGAACATACAGCAAGTACACACATATCCAGCATGACAGGACATCCTATTTAATTGTACTTTCATTTGAGATGCCTTTTCCAGATGACAGTGACTATGAAAATTAGCTGTAGAATGACTTTAATTGTGCAGATGAAACACACTTAGGTAAAAAGCAGCAGAATATTGAGGTAACAGTTAGAAGCCTATGATAATACAGAGAAAGATAAGTGTGATAAGTGGAGAAGAAAAAGAACAGATCCTTTCAGTGTACTTTGATATGAACAGAATATGAACTGAACTGCTGTGATACAATGACTACGTCAGAAAACATGGTATTATTTTCAATACAAAAGATAATACCAGAATTTGTTTCTACTCAGCATGCAGAAATGCTAAGAGGTAGTTGAAGCCCTTGTGTTCATGAACGTCCCGGTGGTAAGTCTTACAGGGTTACCACAACGTTCTCCAGTTAGTTCCTGCTTCGAGCTAGTATTTAAGAGTAGAAAAGATTGTGTTTTCTCCATAGTTCACTTGTTACTCTTTCAGTAGTAACAGCTAGAAAGGAATGCTTTTTCCTTTATAAAAATAATTAACTTTTGCTTCCTCCTCCACATTTCACATTCTGTCCTCCAAAATGGCTTCTCAGACCATCTAACCAGTAAAAGCAATCAGTAACATTACTGTCATGCTAAAAAGACACATCAGCCAGCACAAGTCAGTTCTGAAAAACTGTCAACCCTCCATTTGCTTCAATCAAGCAAATGGTTTATTACCCCCCACCAAAAAAAGAAGAAAAAAAGCAGTATGATCACGTTAATGTGAATGCAAATTGCATTTCACAGATATCAAGATGGAAAGTGAAATGATGCCTTCCAAAATTCCTCTTTGCAAAAGTTCAAAAATAAAATAAAATAAAAATTACATATATAGGCATGCACAAACCTTTAGATTTGCTTCTACTGCTTGGACACCACGACTTCTATGAAATGGATTCTGGTTACAAAGAGACACTACTTTTCACTGCATCATACATAAATCTAGAATTTACTAGCCATTCCAAACTCACCACATTACATTTCATTAACATACACTATTATGAAGCTGTTCATCACTATTTCAGTCATATATTTCACTATTATAACTAAACAGTTCAGTGACAGGAAGATTAAAATCATGTCTTTTGTTGTGTTTTTAATTAGATAATTAAGCCTATTATACCTATAGACATTTCACATCTGCTGTGTGCTTTGATAAAATGAATAATACCTAGAACAAATGTATGAAATGTCCTACTTCTAAAAGGAGGCCTCCATGAAAAAAGTGTTACAAACTCACAAAAGCAATGCAACATAAACATTAACTTCATCATTTATTGCATTGTTCTATTTTAGGGCAGCCTCAGCTGTAAACTAAATGTAACTATTGTTTAGTGGAAGGGAGATCCCACGTACAAAAGGGAGATGTGTTAATATTTTAAATTAGACTGAAGATGTCAGTGTGAACGATTCAAAGCTGACAGTATACTGAAACAAATGTAAAAAGTGTTTACTCACAGTACTGAAGTTTGCAAAATTGTTGGGGTCAGCCTCTTTACCGATGCTGGTGGGAGCAAATGGATCACAGAATAGATCTGCTTCTTGTTCTTTGGGAATTTCTGGGGTGGGAAAAGGCTGAAATGGATCGCTCGGTTTAAAGGAATCTGAAGAGTCTATTTGATTGATAGGTCTTTTCCCTTAGATTAAAATGAATTTAAAATGAATTTAAGATAGCAGGTAATAACACGCCAAAAATAGTATTAATAAAAAAGAAAAACAAATTCAAAAGCTATTTGGAATGCAACCTCCTCTTGATAAATTAGTGGAGTTAGCATGACTTCAGAGGAAGGGTTGCCAGTTTAAAAAATGAGGGCATGGCCCAATATTTCTTCAAGTGTAATCAGATGAAAAGGAACACATGTATGTTAATGATTCAAGAGCACAATTATGTCCTGATGTAGCAATATTTCGGGAAGAGAATTCCTAAGTCTTTACTCCCTATTCTATCAACACAGTAATTTCATCTGCTTATCAGTTATCCATGATGAAAAAAGCCTTACTGGAATTATTATTTGTCTGGATCAAAGTAACAGAATTTGATTTACAGAACAGAAATGCAAGTCTTCTAAAACAGGAGGAAAAGCATCCTCTCGCTGTGCTAACACACACCTTTTCACAGAAAAATGAAGAGTTAAGCTATATAACAAACACTGTAACAAACAGGCTTAACTATTTTGTTCATCCTTGCCTAAGTAGCTGCAGATGAAATAGAAGCAGACGTGAGCCCACACCTGTTATTTTTTCAGCTTAACCCCAGTCAGCTCTCAGCACCTCTGAGGATATTAATCCAAATCCTTCCAAGAACAGTTGAGCTAAATTTCATCCCACCATTCTCTCCATATGTTATTATTTACAGTAAAGGTTTCATTGCAGTTTCTTGAATTCACCCAGCAAATTCAGTAAGTGGTTTGACCACTGCAGTGGTCGTATGCTTCTGTTCTTCACAGGCCAAAAGAGATTCTAATTCAGCAATGACTTCGAGGCTTCTAGGAATGCTCCCCTGGGGAATACATGATTTATTTAGACAATTCTCAGATAACCTTCCTATGATAGTCTTCCCTCACTGATCATGTTCTATCACTGGCAAACAAGGCATGGTTTTTATTTTCCTGAATACTGTGGGAGAAGCAGCTTCAAATGACATCTAGAAAAAGAATCCTTTTACAGAGGAAGGACTAATAATTGTAAGAATATGAAGTATATGCCAAACCCACCCTAAAATCATGAAATGGTAGCACTCATCAGTGCCTGGGAAGGCAATGGATATCAGAAGCAAGCAAGTAGCCCTTCCATGCACTTTCCATTATCAGGAAGTTTTAAAAGGACAGGCACTTCCTCAAAAAAGCATTCCTTTGTTTTCAATGAGACCAAGAGAGTCATTAAGAACAAATACACTTCAATATCTCAATTTGTGATTCATGATGGGCAAAGAGTTTATTGGGAATGGTTATCATGATAACCACAGGAAGAGGGTACTTTTTTTCTAGCCGTCCATTAATAGCAGTACTGTTTTCCTGCCACTAGGTGCTTGCATTCTAAAAATGAATTTGTTCACCACCTTGTAGCCACTCCTAAATAATGAATCCAAAATCCCACACACACTCCTTTAAGGGCCTCCATAGAAGGAAACACTATCAAACATTCAAATTAACACCACCTGTTACGTCAACTGCTTTTATGTTATGTTATTTGCAATGAAACAGGCTACTTGCAAGGCATGAAACAGATCTCCTCACTTCAGCATTACAATTAAGCACTTGAGTTTAAACTTTTAGTATTACTTGTTCTGTGTTGTCCTCTTTCGAGGGGAAAAGATGAATACTTACTCAAGTTTCATGCTATAGTTTTCCCAACACTTTAAAATTCAACCATAGAGTGTAGTAGTGAAAGTGATGCAGTAGAAGTTTTTAAAGAGAATGAAACAAAGGATGAAAAGTTACATGAATACGAGTAATGTAATGTATTTTCCAATCTATGGAAAACAAAAAAGATTGAAAGTACAGATTCTGTTGTAACATGGACTTCATGCAACCAGAAGAAGGTTTGGTTAACTTTGATGACAATCATAATATTTTCTGGAGGAGATTGATGTGTATCATGGAGCAAACCAGAGGATTCAGCTATGGCTGAACAGAGAACAGCACAGGAAACCTGTGTTTATTGCTATTGCATTGGCTAGGTTCACACTACAGACCTCTGGCAAGGCAACCTGGAAAAATTTAATCTGAACATCTGAGACTGTCACCTTAACTCTAGCTTAATGTATTTTACTCCAGCCACATACACACTGAGTTGTTTTAATATTTATTTAAAGGCAGCATTAAAACTGGCAGTTTTGCAATAGGTAGAACACAATGGCTTCTCACTTCAAACAATACTCACAGCCTATTTCAACAGCAACTGTTTAATTTGTAGCCATTTGTGTTCTTGCAGATACCCATATTAACTCTATATTGTCTCATTTTTAAAAAAGAAACAAAAAACAAAACTCAGAAAAAACAGCAAGCTATGCTGCCACAAATGTCAAGCAAAATTTAACACTGAGGCAAAAAAACCAGATCAGGAACAGACTTGTTTTACATCTTCTCACTCATTCATTGTTAGTCCAGTATACTTCATCATCCCCTTGTAATTACTGCCCTACCACCAATGTTAAATAAGCTAATCAGCATCTCACATCAGCTCTTACCAGGAGGTGGTGGACAGGGCCTTGTGGGAGTTCCAGTTTTAGGGGGCAGTGCAGGAGGGACATCCTCATTTTTGGCTGGTGGCTCTTCAAAGGAGTTTTTAGTTATGACCACATTTTTGACGGAGCCTGATGTGGAAGAGCCAAAGGGATCCTCATTGTTGGCCTTTGAGAAAGAAAGAAAACAGCAACATACACACTTTCAGTGCAATGTCACCAAAACTTTCCATCTTTAGAAATGAAAGTTTGTTTTCAAACTCATAATCCAGGAAGAATAAAAGCAAACATTGATGAAAATTACAGGAAAAAGATCAGGAACAGTCAGTGTGTACAGCGATGAGAAGTTGAGAGCAGCTATATACATTCAAAGCCATTTGAAATACAGAGAAAACACAAAGCTTTGTGTTTTTCACAATGGAATTGCAAGACAATTTACTGTAAAAAGCCTCTGTCAAGAAAGTTAACCATTGTAAATTTTAATTATTGGCAAAACTAACGATAAAAAAACCATAAGAAATAACAATACAGTAAGTCACTGCAGAGTTTCATGCATTTTCTGAGTGATACTAATTTCACATTACCTTTGACAGCGTGCTGAAGTCAGCAAAGCCACTTCCAAAGGATTCATTTCCAAACAGAGAGGCAAAGGGGTCTGTAGCTAAGTACACAAAAATCAAGCAAACAGAAATGAAATATGAAACACTGACAGATCCTGCAACAAAAAAAGCAGCTGTTACATATACTGAAGCTTGCTGAAGACTACTTCCATAATACATAATTAGGTGGGCACTTTTGCTATTTGAGTTTTTACAAAAAAACCTAAATATTAACAACTGATTAACATCATTACGACATTAACATTAATTCTCCTGAAAAGGTTCTGTTGATGTATCTGTGTGCAGACAGGTATTTTTTATGTATTTTGTGTACAGCCGCAAATGACTATGAACACAAATGAGCTCACTTCCAACAGTAAGCTCACATCTGGAATACAGTGTCTTCAAACCTTGTATGAACTCAACCTGTAATAACAACAGTGTTCTTCAACTCTTGCATGCCACAAAGCATGTAAGAACTGCTCCTTACTTTACAACAGAACAGCATACTACATTTACCAGTAATCCAATAATATCAATTATCTCTTCTGCCTCCAAAAACAGTGTTTTGGGTTTTGTTTTTTTTTTTTTTTTTTACTGCTTACTGTACAGTATCACAAAGATTCACGCCTTGGATGAATGCCTCCTGGTGCAACTTGGCAATAGAGTGGATCAGACTCCTCCCAAAAACATCTTTACCCTCAGATGAGAGAGGGACACAGCAATACAAACAGAAACCTTGATCAAACAGTTATTTTATCTTAGATTCTCTTACATAGTACATAACTACCTTGTATTTTACTTTGAAAGCAACATGAAATCTCCTAAAAGCAACCCTAATGGGAAGTAGTAGAAATGACTCAACTAGCCCAAACACTTAGATCAGGGTATTTGGGCAGTTTTAGGTGAAGAGGAACATTTTTGCAAAATCAGTCTTTGGTGATACAGGCTGAGGATGACGAGTTCTTTGCTTATTTTAAATAAAAACACTCTCCACAAACTTGTTCCTTATGTTAAATGTTAATTTGGAAAAGTCCTTAAAATGCCCCCATTACAAATTCAGTCAAGACTAGGAACAAAAACAAGAAAAAGAAAGTAAATTCCATGTGCACAGTCTCCTTTTACCTAAATCATCTGATGCAGTAACAGTTGTTCCACCAGGGGCAAAAGGATCATTTTTCTTCGGTATCTCTGTCTAAAATAAAAGAATTACTTTAGTAGGAAATTTGTTTTTTCAGCTTGATTAATTCACATTCTAAGAATGCAATCACAATTTAAGTTTAGAAGGTTTAAGATAAGGTTGGTCCAGCATCTTTACGTCAGGCATCAAAGTTTTACAAAAGACATTCTTTGTGAAGATATTGCTACACCAACAACAAAGGCGCAGCAAAGCATTTCTGACAAATGCATAACTTTAGAAATGCAGATCACACAAGGATCAACTGCTACAGACTGTGCATCCCATGCCTTCACTTCTCCTATTGTCAGTCCATGAGGTATTAGAATACTGTGATTTGAAGAAGGATAGTGTGCAGAGTAAGTACTGAAGATTGTAGAAAACCAGTTTTTAAGGCTGGAGGTCTGGTAATATGACCTCAACATCTGCGTAACACGCATATCACACAGAAGGAAAAGAACACCCCTGTAAGGCACAGTAATTCCTCACTATCTCATTTTTGCAGGTTCACCTCTGGCACACTCCACAGCCACTTAACTTGCTTCCTACATGCATTAATAGTCCACTTGTACTTTTAATACATAAATGCAGATTTTATACACGCACACAAAACTAGAACTGAGGTATGATTAGCACCACTGAAAGAGGATACTGCAAAAAGACTAGGACAAACTTAAGACATAATTTTAGCTTCTCAGAATAAGTGTCTATCAGCCCCCAATATTACTTTATTTTCATTAAAGTTACATCCTACAAGACTTAGTGTGCAGCTCTACCTTATTGTAGGCTGATGATTAATCAGTAACTGTTCAGTTATAATATGAACAGCTAGAAGTTAGGCCTAAGTTTATTTGAAAGAATATGCCATTCAATAACAATTTCCACATTATGACTGGGTTCCAGTGACAAATTTAAAAAGATGCTGAAAAACAAACACCACATCTGTAAAACAGCTTGGGTTTTTAGAAGAACTTGCTATCACAGCAGACTTTAAGTAAGATAAAACATACTTATTGATCCTATAAGCTTCAGAGGGAAAAAAGTGAAGTCTCAACAAAACCTGGTGAGATTAATGAACTTGAAAGAAAACAAAGATTAAGTTCTACCAGCTATTAATAGAGCTTAACTCAGTCCCAAAACATTCTGACTTGTGGAGCTGCACACTGAAATATTTTTAAAATGTTTTTATTTCCATTTTCTGTGTGACTATTTCTAGAATGCAACAGAAAGAGACAAGAGAGCCACATATTTCTGAATATCCGCATTTTAAGGTAGGCCCAAATGCACCAGATAGTTTTGTCCAAATTATATATAGTAGTAAAAAATATGTTATCAGCTTACTGTGCTGTTATTATTGTTGCTTGCTGCACTAAATGGATCAGTGCCTGCAGTCACAAAAGGATCAGTGGAGGACTGTTTGAAAAAACAGTCAGCTGCAAAAGGATCTGAGCCTTTGAAGGGATCACCACCAAAGGGATCTAAAAACAAATAAACATCTCATTAACAATTCTACTTGCTTTATTTAACTTAGCATCTTAAAAATGAAACTTTATATTGCTTCTTTCATTCTGCAGGAAGGTGACACATTTAAGACAAATGTGATGCTTCAAAAATCCTTGGTCTGTGAATAATCTGAATTCCATGGTTCAACCACTAGACAAACCAACATTTTCTGCACACAACAAAAACTATATTGTGCTACTAGTTCAGCAGAACCAGGTAAAGACATTCTTTAACTCAGCCCCTTACAAAGAAGCATTTTTATAACAACTAACGTTTTTCAGAACTCTCATACTTTCTTCTCCTTCACTCCCCAAACATAACTGATGTTTCCTTATTTGACACTGGGTGCACTATGCTGTAGCCTTCCTGCTGCCCATTTTCTTTTTGCCACTGGTAACGCTGTTCAGGACTGAGCAAGTAATGCAATGGCATTGCTTAAACAGCCAGCCTCAATGGATTTCCCCATCTTTTTCAATATTTATGCTACAGAAAGATGCTGAATTAAGAGCCTTTAAAAGTACAGTCCAACTTCTCTGCAAACAAAGCATCCTTTGAGTTTGGGGCCTTCCATTTACCACCTCCATATATTTAAATCACCACTAAGAATACTTTCAAAAGCAAGAGAGAAGTTCCTAGGGAACAGGCTTCTCTGAAAAGGTTTAACACAAGTGGGCAGCTGCTACTGCTATATATCCATCCTACAGTGGCTTTTTAAGTCATTACCATCTTTTTCACACTGTAAGTGGTGATACTTTCCCCCCCACCCCCCATGTACTGTTCTACTAGGAATCATTTACAAAAAAAAAAAAAAAGAGAGAGAAAGAAAAAAGGAAAGGTTAGAAGTTAAAAAGTTGCTCACCAATTTTCCCAAAAGGGTCATCTTTGAAGGGATCACCTGTTCAAAGGAAAAAGTGACTTGTAGATTTTAAACCATAAAGCTTGTGTACTGAGTTGAAGTATTTTTGATAGAAATAAGTTTCTAATGCTAGAATTTCCCTCACTCAGAGGCAGAGTTTCATAATTCTCAGTGGAACAAGAGCTGATAACAGACAAAGCAATGAAGCACACAATAACAGCCATCTGAAAAATGCATCTCTGTTGGCTGCTCTCAGTAAAGATGCACATTGTGCAGCATTTACACCACAGTAATACAGGCTAATTACTAATGAAAACTTAGTTCCACTTTTATTAATTCTCACAGACACGATGGATAGCAGCCATCAAGTGTTCATTTCTATACTGGATATAAGTATATGGCACCAGTATATTTCTTCATTTCACATATATAAGGTCTTACAGCTCTAGATATCTACCTCTAAACAAAGTGAGCACACAGAATCCAGGAGGTTGATTAATTGACATATCTTTCTCCTCTGAAAGGAAGGCTGTCATACCCCATAAGCAGAACTACTTCATAATATAAACTATTTCATCATATAAACAAAATAAGAAACAATATGTATGTGAAATCACTGAAGTTGTTTTAATATTTTTAAGTGAAAAAGATGAACTAAAGCTTAAATCTACACTGGCAATCTTTTAGAAGCCAAGTGATGCAAAATAAATTTAGCTTATTTAGCTGCATACATCTGTTTCAACAGTTAATCCAAATTAACTCTTCCCATACTCCAAGTGTCTCCATCCAGACAGATCACTCCTCCCAGCATTAGAAAAAAAGGAGCAACAGAATTCTTAAGTGGCAAGTTCTTAAAATAAAGCCTAGCAGTTCCACAAGATGAACAGATGGTACAGTTCCACATTATCTTTTTCTGAGTACCTAACTTGCCATAAGTAGGCCACAGCCATTCACTCTCAGCCACCCACATGCTCCCTACACCACAGCGCACTGAACCCTCAGATGATCTGTTTGTGGCTCCGTGCTCCAAATTAGATCAGTGACACCACATGTTTCACAAGTATGCCCGCACTTTTAATACCAGAATGAGACCTCCAGAAGGAAAAAAATGAAAAAAGAGGCACTCAGGAAAAAAAACACAGGTAAGAGACACACTCTGGAACTCTCATTTGTATTTTTGTAATGCTATTGGCTCTTGTCACTCAAGTACTTTCACATTTATTCCATGCAGACTGGAAGTTTAATCTGTGTTCATACAAAACACATTTCTGCAAATCTGCACTTAGAGAGAAGAGTGTACTTACTGCCAACAAAAGGGTCAGACTGGAAGAACTCTAAACTTGTTTCAGAAACTATATCAGGCAACGGATGAGATTCAGCATCAAATGGATCCTCCTGAAAAACATGAAAGAAGTAAAGAAAGGTAAGAAGTGTGAGACACTTACCTCATACTGTTATCATTTATTAACTTCTTAAAGCTGAAATGAGTTTGAATTCATCAGAACTCAACAGAGAGCTAGAGTATTCCTCAGTAAAAATCAACCTGCTATACAAGATAAATGCATTTATGACATCATGCCCTATTTATTTTTATTTTCTTTTTACATTCACTTCTTCCCCCACTTAAATTTGAACAAACTCACTTTTCTCGTAACAGTTGCAGATGGAGTCTCTTTGTCTTCTTCTGCAGCAGCAGCTGTTGTTTCAGGACTATTTCTTGTCTATGTAAGGATAAAAGCAATTTAGTGTAAGTAAACAGAACACTACACTACTTACTCCATTTTAAGTATCAAACTGTTGTAAGAATATACTAAAGGATACCTCAAGAGGTTCATACTTAGAACACACTGAAGTGTTCGATAAATTGAGACAGAAAACTGGGCATTTAAAAAGCAAGACAGCTTTTAGATTTTTGTACTATTCCTCATTCTATTGGAAACAATTGGAAACAGCTGCTCTTCTTTAACATTAATTTTACTCTTCAATTTATGATGTTAAGCTTTGGAAAATAACGTTGCCTCTTTTTCTGCTTATCAACTTCCAGATCTCTGGAATACTCCCTCAGAATAACATCCTTAAAGTTTGCTTTGAAAATGTTTAAAAACAAAATACAATCAATCTTAATACATTCTTAATTTATTCCAACTTCACAGCTGCATTGCATCATGATCAGGGAGGCAAAACATTTTACTCACTGGGGATACATTGTTTATTTGTTCATCTTCAGCTATGCTTTCCCTTTCAGCATTCTCATTAAGGTTAGCAGTTTCACTGCTGCTGTTGCTAAGACTAGAATGATCTGTAGTTCCGTTAACAAGTACAGTCTGTGGCTGAGAGTGCCAACTAAATTGGTTACTTTCCAGTTCTTTCAGCTCAAGAAGTTTTGTCTGCACCTGTGAACAGAAATAACGCATGTGTGTCAGCGCAGCAGCACATGGAAACTAGAATACAACTCCCCCTTCCTAACTGTGAGATGGAAGGTAATTCTTATACTCCAAAATCAAGTATAACAAACTATAAAATTTCATAGAAAAGCACAAATCTGCTCCTGAAGAGATATGGCAGAAGACCTGAGAACCTTCTGTGCCAAGGAAGCAGGCCGTATCACTGGTGATCACTGGCAGTATTAAAGACTTGTTCCATTGCCACTCAAGCACATCAGACTTGCAAAGCCTTCGGTTTGTTTGGGTGTGGGTTTTTGATTTTTGTTTGATTTGTTTTGTTTATTCCCTTTTACATTACTCACTTGTAATTGCCTTAAGCTCCACAAATGTAAAAGGCTGCTTAATCAGAATTCAAAGAAAAAATTACAAAATTATCTTCCTCCTCACAACTTTTGAAGTCTAGAAAATCCAAAATATATTTTCCTAAGCAGGCAGTTACAGCCACATGATTATTTCAGCAATAAATGAGAGAAATGACAAAAAGGTATGCAAGCTAACTGTTCATTGAAGTAATAAATTGTTGACTGCACATACAAAGTACAGCTTTGTTCTTAAAAAACAACGCAGCAATCTCTCTGCTTCTCTGTACCTAGTCCCAGTACTCTTCCATTCACCTTCCTCCTTCAAGAATACACCAAGTAAATGTGTTAAGTAATTCTATACCAACGTCACATCAATTTAAGAACAGTGAGATCATGGCTCAGGCTGTGGCTGAGGAAGAAAACTTGGATAAATACTGGACATAAGGAATTTAAAGAGGCATTACTCATTAGTCATTCATTACATTAAAGCAAGTTATTTATCAGTTATAATGATTTCCCTCTTATAACAATGGAGAAATAGAAATACTTAGAGCAACGCGAGTCAGTCTGTAAGAATTGTAACTACTAAACACATGTTCTGTGCAAGCAATGGAAGGTATAGGAACTGTGAAAAGAAGAACATTTTCTCCTTATGAAAATATCATACCAAAGCCTGTCAGCTAAAACAGTTTTTTTTGTTTTGCCTTTTTCTTTTTCTTTTTTTAATTATTGTTTTTCCTTTTTTTTTTTTCCTTCCCCTTTCACAATGCCTTACCGAACTGATTTCCTGTTGTGAATCTTGCAGATGTTGCTGAAGAGGTCCCAGCTGTGCTTTCCCAGACTCTATGCAATGCTCAAGCTCTGCAGTTTCTTGCTGCAGACGACTCAGCTCCTCTTGAGCTTTGGTCAGTTCATCTTCATATGCTGAGATCTTTGACTCCTGGCTTGTTATTTCAGCTTTCAGCATGGCAATCTAAAGCATAAACAAGGATTCCAAAGTCAAATTAGGAAAAGAACAACAAACAACAACACACCAAAAATACCCCCACACCTCCAAATATATCTAGGAAAGGCTAAGATTTATGAGCAGCTATTGCAGAGACTTCAGATCATACTCTAACAGAAGATTTATCTGCTATTTGTCCCAATGAGATCAAGCTGTTTTCCTGACCAACACAGGTATTACTAATATTTAAGATATGGGGAAAAAAAAAACCCAACCCTGAAATTTTATGTTAGAAAAAAAAAATATATATATATATGATTATTTTTATTTTAATCCCAAGAAATCAGTCCTGATAATTAGTGTTTCTAGTTACATTGTGTTACACGTTTGTGTCATTTGTTTGTACACAACTTCACATGTGTGCAAACACATCTTACTACATTTGTTGGCACACTGAGACATAAAGAGGTCAGTGAAATAAGTGATGTCTCCTATTCTCTATTGGTCACAAAATCCTGTAACTCGGGCTGTTTAATCTTGAAAGTTTTTTCTCCTTTCCCAACCACCACAACACAGTGCAAGCATGCCTTATTCAAAATGCAGCATTCCTTCTTAAGGGCTGAAGCCACTAGGCCTTACCAAGTGGGCCTCCTCTGCACATTTCTGCCTGATATCATTAAGTTGCTCTTCCAACTTGGCCTTCTGCTCATCAAGATCATTAAGGATTTCCTGCGCTTCCTGTTTCTGAGCTTGCAGTTTCTGCAGATTACTGCTCTCCCGTTTTACTTCATCTTGTAGATCCTGTAATGAAACAGATTTGCTTTGCCTTTGTTTACTGCTCCCTCTGACCATTAAATTTCATGGTATAAATTGTGGTAATGATCAGCCAGATTTGAGAATAGCAACATGTTATCTTCCAAAGGCTAACATGTACTGCACAGCACACAACCAAGTGTTCTCAAGTTTTAATTCTAAGAAAACAACAATTAGGTTATTTGCTTTTTCTTTTCTTTCATCAAACAACAACAACAAGGTATTGAAATATTGAAGATCACACTCCCAAACAGAAATTAGAACAGTTTAATGAGTGGGAGGTAGGCTTCCTTCCTGAATCCAGAAGTCATCCTTACTCAGGCTGCTACATTCTTTTCTATTTTAGCAACATGTTTTATTGAGTTCCTTAGTAACAGAAATTCTTTACTCTGTTCCTTTCCCCTCAAAAACACACACCCAAAAATACAAACTCATTTTAGCAGCAAGGTAAAGAACAAAATCAGTGCCTTATTAACCCAATTGCACTTCCCTTTAGATTTTCCCCACCTCCAATTTTTGCTGAAATCACCCTCTTTTTTTTCCTGGTAAGAAATGCATGTTCCATATATGAAAATATGGCAAGTTTTGTTACAGGGACTGCTGTAAATAAAATGTAAGATACAGAAAGTAGCATCATATGATAATGAGTTCATTTCTGAGCAACAACAATGGTTATACTTCAAACTGCAGAGATAACACTGGAAAAAAACCAAGACAAGAATTCAGCAAGAACTGTCAAAGTCAAGAGGAAGAAGTAATACAGAGAGATCAAAAAAGGATTATTACAGAAGTAGTAGATAAGAAGATTGCAGTCTTTCTAAAAAAAAAAAAAAAAAAAAAAAAAAAGTAATTGAACACAGAATCATATACAACAATAAAGAGATGAAAGAAAATTTAGGACAGTAAGAAATAAAAGCTGACATGATGAGATCACGCGTTCCTGTGCTGTGCTATGGTAAGATTCTGTTGTCACTTTTAGGTGATTAAATTATCTTTTTTCAAAAAGGGGAAGAAGGTTAACTCATATCTGTTAACACCTCCAGTTAACCAGGACAAGAAGAGAGAGAAACAAACGTATATGGTGCAGCAGTCAGATGCCCAGCAAAACAGGGAACCTCAAGACAGTCAGATAACTACCTAATAATATCAGAGACTCGTTTATTAAAAAAAATCAAAATCCATTTATCAACTTCAGGATTAATGGCTGAAATTTCATGACTAACCTACAGCAGCCAGAATAGATGACTTACTGATTCTGCTTTATGGAAAATAAGTCAATATATGCAAAAAGCTCTGACAGCAGCTAGTGACTTGGACAACTGGGAAAGTGTCCTAATCCGTTCCGTTTTTTCATGACTTTGCACACAAATCCCATCTGACTCTCAACACACACAACCAGGTTGAGGGGTGGAAGTAACAGTTCCTTTCAGTCACACACACAAGCTAAATATAGATGACTTTCAATCTTGCTGCTGGTTCTTGAGACCCAATGTCTGTTCCAGCCACAGCAGTAGAGAAGCACTGAGGAGATATGACTGTACCTGATATCTCCAAAATAGATTCTTCTTTCTTCCATAGATGTGAACATAAGTTGTGCTTTTTTTTTTTTTCCCCAGGAGTTCCAAGCATTTGTTCAAAAAAATCTCTTCACAAAGTTTCAATATTCCACTTAAAACTGGAAACAGACCTTTTGACTTCATGTCAGGAGAATTCTAGGGAATTTTATTCTAGGAATTCTTTCCCAGTTATTGTTGGGAAAGCCAGAAGAATCACCATTTATGTTAGAGTCTTTGCAGGCACACTAAGAAACCATACACATATACAAAGTGCTTGATGGAGGATCTGAGTCTTGGGCATGTGGAAAAAAGCCCATAACTTGAGGTAGAGCCTCAATGATGACACTTGTATGGTCAAAAATTATTGTTTTAGTGATATATTAACTCTGAAAAGCTGAGTTGTCTTCTGCCAAGAACATTTTGTATCCGTGTTTCTTATCTCTGTTATTCATAAGAAAATAAAAACTCCATCACAGAATAAATAAAAAAAATGCCTTAGTTTCTCAATCTTTACTATTCTACCTGTTACCTCTTACGAAAAACAGTCTTTAATCATTGCTGAGAGATAATGCTTTAATAAACATTAAAATATATCACAGTTTGTTATGTTTTCTCTACAAGTCTTTTTCTGTCTCTGCCTCTCAGACTCTATTTGTACAGCATATACGTTATTTCATAGGGGAAAATAGCTATTCTATCTCTTCCCTCATACAGATCGGTTCAATCCATCATAAGCCTTTGTGAGGTTATAATTTATGTTGGTGAACATAATCCTGGTATCATGAAGCCTTCAATGTGCTACCACTAGATTAGCTTGATCAAAAGTGGCAGATTACAACACAGTTTGTGCCTACCATCTTTAGAAATACCACTAGAAGAACATCAGAAAGAAAAAAGAAGCAAATAACATGATATTCTTCATCTGCTATCCTGTGACGTTCTAGAAAGTTTCATGAAACACGCAGGTTCCTCCAACATTAAGGAACAAAGAGACCAGAGATGCAGAGCCATTAGCTCAAATGAATGCTGGAGTCACGTCCCATTTGATTCTGATGGCTTTCCATTTTTCTGACATGTCAGTAACAGACTGCTCCTTCTTCACAGACTGAGAACTCCTTATATTTAGCAGGATACAAATAGCTTATGTGATCACTAAGAGGTTAAAGATTTAAGACAGTTGTTTTGAACACAACTGCTCTGGATACAATGATCCCATTGATTCTGTGATGCTGCTGACTATCAAGGACTATAAACATAAAATCACACTAAGACTGCAACATTTTAGGCCTCACAATACTAATGGCAGGTGTTTTATTTAGCTTTAGACACCTCTCGTACAAAGGCAGCAGAGAACTCAATCTTAATACGAACACACAAGTTTCAGAACAAACTAACAAAATCACCATGTGTGCCCAAATAGAAACATCAGTGAGAATGTTTAACAGTGTGAAAAGGTCCTCTTCATCACAGACAAGAACGATGCTGGCATGCACAGACAGAATTGCAGGAATGGTCAACTTCTGCACACATTCCAGCAGCTGCTGAATCTGGCTGCCATCGTGACCACCAGGCCAGCATCTGCTTATCTTCTGAAAGGTCAGATTATTCAGTATCATCCAGGCTTTAAGGATATTAAATAGCTGAGCACAAGAGTCACAATGCTTGCAACACTGGCTTTTCTTTCCCAACCTTCCAGCCCCCAAAACAAAGTAAAATTAGAAATTTATATCATTTACTCTTAATCAAATAGAGAGTATTTGAACTAATAAAGATTCCCAAACAAAGGCAGAAATAAATGTAAATGATCAGATAGAACACTGAAGTTTTTTTTCTTATTGTTGCAATTCCAGCTGCTTCTGCACCTTACAATTTAACTTAAATATGCTTTGCAGTATTTAATTCAGAGCTTATACTGTTAACACCCTAAACACTGATGCTGACTATATAATTTTTAATTCATAAGGCACTTGCAAAATTCAAATTACACTAAGTTCAATGACGCGCCTTTAAATAAAAATCAAATATATTACTTCAGAATTCACTTATTTTAGGCAATATTCTTCTCAAGCTGGATAATTACTGAGACTTTTAAGAAGCAGCCCCATAGAGAAGTCCTTTTAATTCAGCCTCGTTAAGTTTACTAATTTGTGGCACAATAGCATCTTATTCAGTTTTTAGTAGATCAGCCCTGCTTAAAAGAGGATTTATTATTTCAAATATCTCTCATTAAAAACTCCATGCAGATTACATATCCTAGGAGCTCACACATTTATATAGAGATGCAGAACCCTACTAATCCACATTGGTATACCAAATATATTTCAATGTACGTTCATTTCCTCAGCAACCACTCAGTAAGTGATGCGATCTAAAGGTTCAGTAATCTCATTGCTATTAAAGCATCACAGGGTGCAATATCAGATATCTGAGCAACAATTCTGCGTCTTATTTACCTGCACCTCACTCGTCCTCTGTTTGATGGTATCTTCTTTCTCCTTCAGGTCTTGCTCTACATTATTCTTTTCCCTAGAAGACCAGCAAACAATGCAAGAATACTTAAGAACATCAGCTACAGCAGGTACAGTTATCCAGCCTCCTAACCCTGTATCTCTCTTTAAATACATAGTGAAACATTAAACACAAAAGATCTAAGGGATTTCTGCTTTCCAAATAATTTACAAGACAGAAGCCCACATAAGCCTTGTGCATAAAAAAAAATAAAGATGCCTTTCACCCAACTGCACTTTAGTGATAAGAATGGCTTAAAAATGGAAGGGGGCGGGAGGGAAAAATCAATGAAATACTGTCTTCAGTGATCTCACTGTTGCTATGGAGCGCTTGTCTAATGAAAACTGCTGGGAAAAGTGGGAGGGATTGCATCAGATTCCATCTGTTAACCCCTGCAAATACAGTAATTCCTATGCTACCAGCAGCTAAAAGCATTTTCAGGAGGCCGCCCTAGTAGATTATTAACCTTGACTATCATATTTTAGATATATTTGTTGGTAAGATCAGTCAGAAGAAGAAAAGTTAGCCTACTGTAATCACTAATGCTTAACAGACTCCATATATAGTTATTTGCTGTGTCATATCAAGTCTGTCCCTACAGACATTCATGCAAGCTTACAAGTGACTACTGATGACAGGGGAATTACCATCAGTAAATTCTTGGCAGCCAAGATAACAATAGCTTTAAGAAAGGAAAAAGCCACACAACCCAAAAGTGTTCATATAAAAAAAAGAATTTATCCCTAGACAATGTATGCTATGTTTTCTTTACCGGATGTAGAAAAGCAGGAGAGCAGGCTTTGCAATTTTAACAATAGCTTTTATATACAAACATTTATGTTTATAAAGACTGCTATTAAAATGCCTATGTACATTGAAGATGAGAGTATTAGCATTTTTCAAATTCTGACATTTCCCTAAGGTAATTCATTTAGAAAAGCTACCAAATGATATTACTAGCACATACTAAAATTAATCATATATTAATAGCAGCAGAATGGGCAATCAATCCGAAACTATTAATCTTATTGTTTACTCTTCTCTACTATGAAATCAAGCACTACCATCCCCAAAGTAAAAAGGGGAATTTCCTCTGAGAAAGTTGATTTTATTCAGGCTAAGGAGTGCTTGTTTACTGCTAAGGCATATAAAATGGAAGATGGAAAAAATCAGGTATCATGCCTTACAAATATTCATTCAGAAAAATTATCACTATATCTCACGCTCAATTACTGTTTATCTCAGCACCCAATTAACTTACTGACCATGCTTTAAGGAGAGGTTTACATGGAGGAAAATAGAAAGATGTGGAAAGAGGGATTCTGAAGAACAAGCCGTACTATTTTTTTTTTAGGCGTCAACCTTCATGTTTCAAAAAACTTCCCAGTCCCCATTCATCAGAAAAAAAAATCATGAAAATGCTGCACAGATCTATTGTTTCCTTCAAACCAAATGCATTTCTCTAGCTCAATAAACCAGCATTTGTTGCAGAGTTGAATTTAGATATTTAAAGCATCACAAGACAGAGTTGAAACAAGTCCTGTTGACTTCTGCCTTTTATAACTTTCCATAAATAAATGGTCCCCATCTCCAAGCACTTCCACAGAAGGCAAGTTCAAAAATACCAAGCCCTCAGATACTTAGCAAACACAAACACTCAGGCATATTATTCCTAATTGAAGATAAATGACAGAATAATTGACTAGATCAACAAATAGTTGTTTTGTTATTTTTCCAGCTTGGGTATGAAAACTGAGCAGGAAATAAAATGCAAGCAGGTACGTATGCCTTAACATATAGCTTTCCCTAATTCCTGTCACTGATAGGCCTGAAGAGACCATCAGAAAAGAAACTCACTTCCCTTCTATTTCAACAGCGGTCAGGTACCAAAATCCTGCAATCTGGACTACACCAAGGGACACAATACCCACCCACAGCCAGCTTACACTGGTCAGCTCACAACACAGACAATGAATGGAAAAAACATCAAATGAAAGAATTATTGTCAGGCCGAACAAGAAGCACTTAGGCAGCAGTCTCAGACAAAGGCAAACAAGCTAAGTGAACACAGGCTGAACAATGCATCTACCCTCCCTGCTCCCCACCGTGAGTAAAGCATCTTTGTTTCAAATGAAGGTAATGCAGACCTACTTCATTTACTAATTCTTCTGAATGCCTCCATTTCTTTTACAGACTATCTGGTAAACCTGCATACCAGGGATAAAACCAAACTGTATTACTGGCTATGACAGATTTCTTGAATCATACAGTCCCATAACGTCTCCTGGAAACACAAAAACACCTGTGGTCTCAACAATAAGTTAACATTTGAAACCAACTCAAACTCCATTAGGTAAGCAATGCAGTTTCCCCAGGTAACTTTTTGTTAAATAAATTAAAAATAATGATTGAAAACAAACAAATAACAAAAGAGCAACCCAACACACACACTACATAATATACAAATCAAGTAACACCAGTAAATCCAGCAGCTTTGCAATTTGTGAATGGAGTATTATTTAGGAATTGGAACCAGCACACAGGGAACATTTGCAATAGCTGACAGCTGAGTAGATCCATGTCAGTAGAGCCACTTAAGCCATCTTTGAAGCAATCCTGGCCTCACTTCTTGATAGCTAACAATCAGAACAACACTAGTTAAAAACGAAAAACAGTAAATAGATCAGTTCTTTTCCACAAAAAGTGATTGATGGCTGCTCACAGACTTAGTAGCATCATTTGAACTCAGTTGCCAAACATTTCTTATTGTCCTATACATGTGCAATTGTGGGAATTCCTAGTGTAGAAGTGCTTAATGTTGACACTGCTAGAAAAAAAAAACCCCAAACATCTAGAGTTTGCTCAGTTTTTCCTCCCCTTCAGTCCCCCAGTTTTCAGCTGGAACAACCCAGCTGCTTCCAAACCAGATTAGAAGAAAGCAGCTGGTTTACAGTTCTTCCTGTTGATTTGCTAACAGGTTCTATATTTCTGGACTTTTAAACAAAGCTTTGATGCAAATACATGGCAACGAAAGGTTGCCCCTGGAAAAAAATAGAGCATTTTGTTATTTCCTTACTTTTGAGAGACTAACTTATCTTCTCTAAAATTCTCCTAGCTTGACTTATGTTCAGGAAAATGCAGCCACTGCTCTCCAACACTCACAATGGGTGGCACCAAGTTAAGCTCAACTATTCACACTTACAAAGCAATGTTGTACTGATAAAATCTCAAGAAATCCCACTCATCTGTGGGCCACAGATAGCTTTAATAAACAAAAAGAAAGCAGGGTGTGCTGGGTCAAGAAAAAGGCTCAATGGCTCAAAAAGAGAATATTAAGAACATCTGGTTTAACCTCCCACTGATGGGAAAAAAAAAAAAGCAGAAATAACTCTCAAGAAATGCAATGCAACAGAAATAGAATTTACAGGTCTTCTGAAAAAAGCAGTACTGCTGTCAGGCTCAAAATGAGGCACATTCCATAGCATCCCTAGGCAAGTCATTTGCCCTACCAGAGGGGAATTAACCTTACTAATAGGCATTGTGCTTTTTATTTCTCATCTGATATTCAATCTCCATTTTCTCACCTTATGTTTTCATCAAATTAGATTCAAAAAGCTCTTGGCTACCAGATGTATTCCCACACAAACACATCACTTCTGCATTCTTCACTCAGCCTTTCAACAAACAGCATTTTCACAACACAGTCATTCTCTTCATTATTTTAGGGAGTTCCTCTGGTTGTTTTCTTTATTTTAAATGTGCATTTCAAAAATAGATTCAATTTCTACTAATGGCTCTCAAAAATGCAGCTCTCATTGATAAAACACAGCTCATGGATTAGAATTAGTACATACTGGGTTTAATCATTAAACATTTTGTTTTGTTTAATAATGAATAAAATTGTTTGGATGACATTTTAATATGGTAACTATAAAGACTGAAAGTATACTTAAACAGTTATACCTGAAATGCAGACTTCCCAAGAGACGAGAAATGTCCTAAACTTATCACAAAGACTGATCTGCTGCCTCCTACTGCCACCTGTACTTTAGGTGAGATACAGGAGAGCAACATTTCCACTACCAAAATGACTCTTTTATAGCAGCTAAACAACTGCTAAGTAATCAAAATTAATTTATTAGTAACACAATTCTATTCTGTGCCTGTAAATAACAAAGTAACTCTCCACTTTCTTAAATTAAAAACATGCTAGTAATTGCCCCTATAGTATCTCCATCAATCAGATACACCCAAATAAATAATTTGCCACCGAAGAAGCAGAAGCAATGACTTCCAAAGGCCATGGGGTTCCTTCATATATCACAGGGAGAAAGAAAGAGCAGAACACAACAAAACGGTGTGAATGTTAGGCTGCAAATACACTTAGTGAAAAACAAAAAAAATCCACCTTTATCTAAAAATTCACACAAGTGAATAATTTATTTCCTTCTAATAACAAATACACATAGTTGCAAATCAAATTGTAGGTTAATAAATGTGTAAGTCCAAAACTGGTATCAATACAAGTTAAAGAACAGAGGAAGCCATGGCAAGGACAAGTGAGGAGGCAGAGGAAGCAACAAGCAGCTCAACTGCAAAAACATTTATCTGTTTAGGAGATGGGCTGTGCTTTCACACATTTCCAAATTAAAACACTCCTACAAGTGACATGGATAAGTCACTCTTTGTCATCATGACAAAGCTCCTTAACTGACAGAATGAACTTACAGTATATTTACAATAGTAGCAAAAGTCACTGAAGAAGAATATCTGCTGTGTCTTGAGAGTATGACAAAGATTGTACAGTATATATAAGCTTGATTTTCCTCAGTGACTTGAAATCTTAGCCTAGAAATAATAAGCCTAGAAATAGTTTTTGGAAACCAAGCATCTGTCTAGCTCTAATTTAAACAACTTTTTCAGTGCAAAAGCGAATTTCACCAAACAGAAGGCAAGCATGTCTATCTTTACCACCATAAAAATTCTAGCTGATTTATGTAAATCCTTACGTAAACTGCCACCTTCTGACTCCCTTCCCTGTATCCTTCTTGAGCCTTCTTCTCTCAGTTCCCAGCCTCCATTAGGAAAAAGTCCCTAGGAGTTGCTCTACAAATCAAAGGCATCTTATACTAATTTGTGTCCTGGCTTCCACATCCTAAAGATCTCCTGTATTCTGACCTGACAATAAAAATGAACTAAAGAGAATATCTGGATCCTAGGATGCTAGCAGATGCAGCTCTCTGAAACATGTGCAGAAGTGATCACAGACAGAATTTTCAGTCTTGCTGTTACTAAATGAAGTCTTCTGAGTCAACAAAGAATAGAAGAGTTAAACATCATTAGAATAAATTTATCAATTTGCTTATCATTGGTAACGGACTACATTACCTTCTGATTTTCTCTTATGCATTGGTTTTTTGGTTTATTTTTCAGGGGAAAAAAAAAAAAAGCAAGAAGTAAAACAACCAAACATTCCTCCTTCACCTACCTCTGCAGGTCTACTATTTCATTGTTCAATGTATCAAGCTCTTTAATTGCAGAAAAATCTGCTACAGAATTCAGTCCTTGAACACTCTGAAAGAAAGAAAAAGTTTATGCAGTCTGACATCTACGTTCACTTTACAAGTGAAACACAAACGTAACAACTGTTTGTAGCATTACTTTTCAATTCTTTCACTGTTTAAAGAAAAAAAAAAAGCAAAAAAAACCCAGCCCAGCCGCTATATGGACAGAATATCCCATATGCCCCATGAATCTGATAATACACAACAAGTTTGTCTCCTGTAAATTGAAGGCATGTCTTCCACAAAAGCACACCTAATCATACAATAAAAGTCTAGATCTAAAATTAAATTTATTTTATGGTTAATGTTTCCTAATGCGGGTTTCCTATCTCTCATTTAAACAGGTTTGGTTTATTTACTACTGATACATGTATTTCTTCACCTTGGTGATCCTCCTGATGCAAAGTAAAATGCTTTGTTTGCAATGCTTTAAGCTGTATCTAGCTGTGTTAACACAAATCCCAGAGTACTGACTCAAACTCCAATAATACATAATTATAGGTAATTAATGCCCTTGAGTTCTTACTTCCTTAACAACTTCATAATGAGACAACTACTGTGACACAAATTATGCATACGTTTATGAATTTACATAAATGACTGGGGCACAAGTTTCAAATATACAAATTAACAAATACTGCAATTGTTCTATTATGCCTGAACAAAACACACACAGATTTAGGAAGCCATTGACATAGTAACTACATTCCAGAACACATATAATCCTTCTAGCTTTAAAGTTGTCTGGGACAAAATACAGAAGTTCAGAGGGCAACATAAACATTCAGCTGGTGATATTTCAAAAATAACACGAATTCAAATCTTTAAATCCTGCAGAGAAAGATTTATCTTTCTCTGAAGATGTATCAAGATGCTACAAACTGCTTATTTATTCATGTGTATACTGGGGGAAAAAGTAAGAAATCTTTAGTCAACCAAAGACCTAACCAGTAAAACTGTGCACACAGTGGCAGAGAATATTACTCAGCACAATTACAGATTATTCATACATATTTTTACTGGAGCAAATGACACAAATTGAGAATTAAAAAACCATACAGTTATTCTTAAACTGGTTAGTGTACACTTCCTCAAACTGGCCAAACAGTTACAAAGTTCAATCCTATTCTCAAGAATTACACTGGAGTTTTGTCGAGTTGCTCACAATTCCTCTAATGAGGAAATCCTTCCTTATTCTATAAAGAAGGAAACACGGTGGTATGCGCCACAAGTGCAAATTCTTTCTGGGCTCTGTTTTCTAATGGTAACTCGAGCATCACATTTGCACAAGGTGTAGTACCATCGTATTTTCAGTTCTTCAGGAGAACTCTGGGGAGAGACCCAGCCCAGAAAGGCCATTTTTAGCTTTATTGTACACGTTTGGAAGAGGCAGAAGTTGGAATTATTTGCTGCCACTTAACATCACACATGCAAGCAACACTTCAACATTTTAAATGGAAAATATTAATAAAAGTTAATTTCAGTCACAGTTCCATAAAGGAACTTGAATGCAAGTGTAAGTTTTACAGCCAGTAATGCAAGAGCTGGTTTTGTAACTACAAGCAGCTTTAGGTAAAGGAACACAGCAACAGATACTAGACTACTACTGCTCTTTCCCATTTATGAGATCTGCATTCAAACCTCAGAATAGAAATAAGAAGTTATACTATTGTGTTAATGAAATTCTGCAAGGACACCAAACATTAGAAAACAGCAATGCACACGCATGTGATTTCTGAATACCTACCAAGAAGGACTGCAAGTTAACTTTCTATACTTCAAAAATGCAATGGATTACCATTGTGGTTACTGATATTTTTGCTACTACCCTTGCACTGGTAAACCAGGAGAGGAAGCCTACCTTTCTTTACTAATTAAGCCACAACACTTCAAGTAATCCAGAAAAAGGCCTATTTCTGCCCACCACTCTTACTTATCTTTTTGTTCAGTTCTCGAGCAATTCAGTTCTTCCATATCCACTAAGAAGACAGCATCTTTTTTGGAAAATCTCAAAATGAGCTAAGCTTTTAGCTCATCTAGTAAAATGGGTAAGGATTTAGACAGCTAACTAAAAGATCTCTTAACTTCTTTCATAGCATTCTCATCTTTTATGTTAGCAATCACTGTAAAATTCAGCTGATGTCTTTAAGAGTTCTGTGAAGACAACGTACACAGAACAGCAGTAAACAATGTTGATTTCATTTCATTCATTTAGTGTTCTGACCACTACATTTTCTGAAACATAATCAGTAATAACATGGATATCAGTCCTAATGGATACTGTCATCTGTCAGACTGGGCTACAACTGCCATCACTTCCCCAACAATTTGAACAGGATAATACAAAGCACTTTCTTTTGTAAACTTAAGCAGTACGTGCAGCCAAATTGTAACAGCCACAGAGGTCTACCCCAGAAACATTTTCTGCACAAGAGTGGATTATGTACACTGTGTTAGTTCAGATTTGCAAAGCACCTTGAGATTCTTCCAGGTGAACAACACTGGAAACCAGTAATAATTTGAGATTGCAACAAGTTGTGATGCTTCAGAAAGTGCTGCACTAATTCAGTGGTTACTTAAGAGTCTTAGAAGGATGCTCATTATCAAACCAACAGACAGTAAATATTAGAAAAGCAAAGATTCTCTAACCTTGAGAAAGCAGAGTTAACAAACTGACAGAATAATAAGGATGAAAAGCAGAGTGGTGCAGAATGGAAAAAACAGTCCAAACTAGAAAAGAGACATAGAAAGGAAAGCAAACATACAAAAAAGATTAGTAGGGTTGCAAATAAAGCAATTACTTTTTAAAAATAGAATGTAAAAAAGAAATAAGATTCCAGTTACAGAAACTCAAAAGTAGTGCCAAACTTTGAGTTTCTAGTTTTTCAGTTGCTGATTTTTCATTCTGTTCAAGAAAGTGTAGAATCAGCTTTGCACAACCAAGAAAAGGTAACCAACATAAGACTCTACAATGCGTAAAACAAGTAAGAATCTGCCAATGACTTCTGCCATTCTGATAAACATAACTTGAGCTGTTGAGGTTTAGTCTACTGCTGGATTAAGACAGATGGCAATTAACAGGCTATCAAGACATTTAAACTATCTGTGAAGAATAAAATGGTGGACATTTACTTTTTGAACTTTAAATACATAAACTTTATTTAATTCAGATTATTTTGAGTGTTATTGAAAAAAAGAAATGTGAAAGATAATTGAAAAGCACACTAGGACAAAAACACAGAACCTGTGCATGTTATTCCCAAAGCAAACTAAGATTTCTTCAGACAGGAAAAAGATTATTCTTTTAAAATAGAAAATAATGCTTTCTCAACATAAGATCTCTCTGCTTGGTTGGCAAGTGTAATAAATGACAGCTTCAGTTCAAAACATGAATGGAGCAGTGCTTTGTCACTTCTTTGTAAATAATGCTTGTTTTCTTCCTGATATTACGATAACCTTGAGGTTTGCCAGTACTTGAAGTGCCTCCTTTCCAGCCTTTGAAATTTATACCAAGCATGCAAACCCGTCCTTACCTTCTGTAATGTGACACTCCTGTCTGAAGGTGGAATCATCTCTGGAGTCAGAGCTTGAGGTGGATCTATGCCCTTTGTTAATTTCTGATTAATTAAGTAGAAAGCCAAAGCAAACTGTTCCTTGGAAAGCTTCCCACAGTCCTTTGTGTCGCACAGAGCCCTAGACAGAGATGCACGTGGAATAAACCAAATCTTCATTTCCACAAGTATAACTCTACATGTTATACTTTATTTCACTCAGGACTGTGAAAACAGCTACTGAGTACCTCCTCTATAAAAAATAATGCAATACACAACAAACCAAGGTAATGAATGCAGAAACACACACAACCACTTCCCTCCTTTTGTGTAAAGTTCCAATGCTCTGTTAGAATAATTGCTAATCTGGTAAAAGGCAGAACTAGGCATACGAATTGCAACATCTGAATATCTATAGCTGAATTTACCTGCTAAACTAAAGAACATTCCATAGGCAACACCAGTTTATACCATTTTCCTAGATTTCCTACATTATATTAACCATACAGTGAAAAAACCCAATCGTTTTTCTATCAGAGTGCCATGCACTATCTTACAGTGGAGAAAAATTTAGAAAAAATACCACCACACAGTAGGTGTCACTACAGCCTGTAATATACAGGCTTTAATGAAAGACAAACAATTCACAGAATTAGATGGGCCCTGAGTCTTGAATGCTAAGAATTTCATACAGATAATTCTCAAATGGACAGTCTCAGTGTTCAAATACACAGCAACATTATGGTCCTTTATATAGAGGACCATATTTATATAAATTAATATTTAATATTTATTTATATAAATTAATATTTAATATTTATATAAATTAATATGCATTTATATAAATGCAGTATTTGTTTGAAGCCATTTCTTCAGGCACTTCACCTCCGCTAGCTAGGAAATAGCTCATGGCATGAACCAATTTTCCCCCTATTTCTATCCAAAAGTAGAAGCAAATTAAGTTACCACTGCTAATACAGAGGCCTTGCTATTTTATATGAAAATAGCTCTCATTTTCTATAAATGTCAATGTAGCACTTTTCATGAAAAGAGCTAGGAAGGATCAAGAACCAAGCCATCGTCTAAACAGCTGTCAAGGGAAAATAATCCCTACCAGATATGTGCAAGCAGAGCAGAAGGCAGTCCTGTCTTCAAGAATAGTTCTCTGGCTTCCACACCTGACACAAATCCATCCATGTCCTTGTCAGTTTTCATAAAGATCTCATCATACTTAATTTTGTCTGCAGGCGATACAACCCACTGAAGGGAAGGGAGGGGGAGTGGTAGAGAGGAAAACAAAACCCACAATACCAAGATAAAGACAGTTCTGTTTTTGGTTATATACTTTCAGAGTTACATAATTCATGGACTATAGCACACATTTTAGATTTATGAATCACTTTTATCATCCAAAATAGACACGTATAGGCAAGACACTCCAAAAGCAGCAACATTGGTATCAGTGAAGGGCAGCAGTTGGTTGATACTGCTCTATTTCTTTGCCTATGCAACAGAAATATTCCCTGGGGCCCAGATCTCCTCCTAGCAAGGGGTTTTGCACTCACCACTGTACTCATAGTCTGCCTCCATCAACTTCACTCTTCCTTACACAGCTGGAGAGCTTCAGATGGGTCAAGCTCAGAGTTAACAGCTGGGACATTCTAAATTACACATCTGAAGTTCTTACCAAGGTAAAGATAGGAGTTACAGCCACATTTCTTACTTCAGCAAATTTTCCAATACTATACTATTTACTATAAGAAGATGGGGGGAGGATGAGTGAAAATTGCTTCAGCTTTTGCATATATGCATGCTCATGGATACTAATTTAAGTGTACAAGGACACTTAATATACAAATCCCAAATGGTGCTGTATAAAAAAACAAAACAAAACAAAAAACAAAACATACACCAAGACACTCATCCAGAACACAACTGCTCTGTAATACACACTACCCAGGCTTAAGTCAGTCAAGTAAGCTGCCAAAGTCTGGGAACCAGGAGACGCAAAGTGCCAATCTGCTGATTTCTCAAATACAGGTACCCAAATATCCAAGCAGCATCTTATGGATTAAAGTACTTCAGCTCTCACCTCAGATTCCTTTCTCAACATTTACTTCAAATACAACCAGTAAATTACAATGCACTTGAAAAGACATACTCCCAAATTCTGGATTCTAAAAGGATCAGAATTCAATAAGATGCTTTTCTGTTGGAGTTAAGTTTCTCAGTAACTACATGTAGAACAAGCACCAGATCTCACATATTTCAGTGGATGCGCTAGACCTTCTGTCCTCTTTCTTTCCATAGCTTGCAGTGATCTATTGTTTTCATGAACATCTTCTTCAAACTGCTTGCATGCACAACATATAAGTACATACACAATTCTATCACAATTTGTCTTAAAAACTGCCCAGATTCCAAACAGTATTCAGTCAGAACAAACATTCTGCCTACGTATGCTTGGATTAAACTGTTTTCTAAGTGTTCTAAGGTTGAGCTAGATGCTTTGAAACAATTTATTTTAAAAATATCTTCAAAATCTTCACTAAATAATATGCTTTTATCCAACTGTTTATGTTTGGAGACATCTGAAGAAATTATGTATTATCTTTTCTCTTAATCTTGTCTTCCCATCACCCTCCTCAATTTTATTATCAATAGGGGAAGGAGAAGGAAATAAAAAATGTTTATCAAGACTCCTCACATAAGCACACACCGAAGAACAACATTCAGAACAAATCTTTTGACCCCAATTTCCTTCGGAATTATACCTGTGTTAATGGTGTTTTGGCAGCTAAAATGCCTACAGGTGGCAAGGACTGATGAGAATCTTTGGAAGATGCTGAAGAAGGAATTAATGGCATTGCTCCTGGAACACTAATAGGTTTTCTCTTGGATAGTGGCACCAAAGCTGCAGGCAAGGACATTGGCACTGGCTCTTTCTCCAAAGCGCAGTACACCAAGAACATGGCCTGAACACAAAGAAACAAACACACGAATGAGGACAGAAGGAGGAGAAAGAATTAGTTAAGAAATAACTTTGTAGCATGTTTTCACAATATTTCATTTAGCCCAGAGGGAAAGCTACTTTGTGTAATGATATATTCAATAAACTGATGCTAATTCAGTAATAAAATTAGATGAAAGTCTTTGAATAAAGGCAAGAAATGAAACTGCACAGTCAGAACCTAACACACAATTCACCCATTTTGAGCTTCTGTCATTCCATTTTCAGAATTCTGAGGCATATAAGATACTTACAACTGCAAATTCATCACGATCCAACATTCCATCTCGGTCAATATCACTCAATTCCCACACCTACCAATAAAAAGAAGAATATAGGGATATTTGCCTGAACTGTAGTGTTTGCCTTTTTATATCATTACAAAACAAATGAGAGAACAGCCTCCTCCCACTGTATCTAAAGTCCTACTAATCTAACAGCAGTTTTCAGTAAGTGATACACATTCATACAGACCATGCAAAAGAAGAGTCTGAAATCGGAGTGCTAATTGAACCCTGTCCAAAACAAAGTGTTAAAGCATACACAAAACATTATAATTAGAGGTAATCTATCAAAATGTCAATGAAAAATTTTACAGTTTAACAATTGTATGTCTGGTCACTCCATATGACAATATTTAGTAATTAGGCTTATTACTATAAACACAGGATGTGAGAAACAGATAAAGATGAGTGAAGCGTAGTTATTACCTGCAAATTAACAATTAATTGGAAAAAAAATAATAGGAAGCTACTCTTACTCGTCCTAAGATATCCACTGGCAGTTTTGAGTTGAGGAGTACAGGTTTCACTTTATCTCCTGACAGTAGTCCATTAACAGGATTTAGGCTGTCAAAAATAGCATCATACTTGGCCTTGTCTTCCAGCTGCAGAGCAGAAGAAAAATAATCACACTTGCACTCCATAAAGCACTTTCAAAAATACTGACTTACTTTTGTCAAAGCTACAGCGAGAAAAGCATACATGGAAGTTCCTGATACACAGAAATTACACCCCCCTCCTTTTTTTTTCTTTTTAAAGGCAGAGACTTGTACAAAATCCATTGAGATTTAGTCCTCATTTATTTTCATGCCTTTAAGTGACTATTCTCAATAAATCAAGTTTCTTCCCAAGATTTCCCAAGCAGTTTCACACCTCCCCCAGACCCACACAAATTAGATCTACAAGCCAAAGTACAGATGGAACAGGAATGTCAATTTATCATGTGTAATGAATTATAGCTATCAGTACCATATTTTTCTCAGATTTGTGTTTCCTTACAAAGCACATCACCATTCTACGTAGTAGCATGATATTTTGTTTACCTTAACAGCCCATGGTATATCACTTGATGCTGTTCCACTGAGCAGCAAAGGACTACTAGTATCAGTCTAATAAGAAAAAGAAGAGAGAAAAAACTCACTTAAAGAGTTCTGACCTTTCAAAACTACCCCCTTATTTGAGAAGTTATTGCTTCTCAAAGCATTTCAGTCATGCATACTTTAGTGAGGGAGATGAAGATTTACAGTAAGAAATTTAAAACCTTTCTTCCATTAAGGACAGCACTAACAGAACAAGTGCCATAAATATTCCAATTTTACACAATTCTACTTTTATAACCCCACTAGAACATGCAGCACCTTATTCTAACTCCACATTCTCTCATTTTCCCCTCCCTGTAACACCTTTTTCAGAAATATTTGGTATTTATAACAAGTCCTCCTAATTGTTAGCTTCAAAGCTTCTTATTAGTAAGAAGTTGACAGGCATATTAAAAATAAAATCTTACAAATCTTGGTGGAGGAACAGGCAAATTGAGACTACTCAGGGAAACATCCAATCCATTCTGTGCACATGCTACAAGTCGTAAAGCTATAAAAAACTCCTACAGGAAAAATAAAATTGTAAAGTTTTATTGTATGAAAATATGCAAGAGCAAGAATTAAGAAGTTTTCTAGTACTGTTATACATACAATGGTCACAAACAGCTTGGAAGGGTAGGAGTTGCAAAATGACAGAAAGCAGTAGTCAAAAAAACACTGAATCCTTCCAGCGAGGTCAAACTTACTATTACTAGCTCCATGCACTCAGTAGCTTCCTTGCCAGTATAACCAGCTGTCTGCACTCAGTTCTTCTATGACAGAAAAGTAAGAATCTGAAGCAGTGAGTACAGCTGTTTATCTTGAAGGAACTGAGTTAACCCCAAAGGTAGCTGACAGTGGAGGAGGGAAGAAATGTACAGCGTATGAAATAGATGAACCAAACTGGAAGGCTGATGAAAGATTTGTTTCATAGATGCTACAAGCACCTTTTCCGAATGTGGACTAAAGCAACCAACTCTCTGCAGGCCATTATTTAACGACCTACACTTCAAAGCATCTAACAGCAATATCACATCAGAGCTTGTCAGCAGCTCGTGCTACATGCATCACTGAGGTACATCTGACTGACACAGACATACTGCTCACAGCTGCAGCTTAAAAAGAACAAGTCCAAACGCACACATGAAATCCAGCAAAATTAGATAAATTGAAGATTTTATAGCATTTTAATTTCTGCATTTTTGCCCTCAAGATTAAGAGGAAAAATTACCTTAATAGTAAATACAGTACATTAGACTCAAATTATTCCTCTGTTGTATTGCACACATACACAGCAGCTCATTTTATGACTTGAAGAGAAACAGATGAGGAAGCTGAAGGGTGCTTCACTTATTGTAGCTTACACTGAAATGGGGAGTACATATCAGAAAACAAATCCTATGAGAAGAATTGCCTTGCTGAACCAGAAACATTAATACTCATCTCATTGCAAGGTTTGCTAGCAGTTAGAGTAACCTCATTCATCATACAATCATACCTGTTTGTTCAAGATTCCTTTGCTATCAGTATCAGCTAAGTCCCAAATCTAAAACATAAAAACAATAGTCAAAGGTATTCCAAAACACTAAGAGGAAGCTGGCAAGCTCTCACTCACTTTAAAAACAATTTAATTCTTGGATGGAAGTTCAGTTCTTAACTTTTGTTACAGCAATTACTTGTGGTGACAAATTTAAATGCTGTTTTAATTTCCATCATGAGTAACATATACAGTTAAATAAGCACAGGTACTGAAGTTTGAAACTATTGAACAGCACTACTGAAAACACACTAGGGAAGATCATGTATCCTGCCATACCTTTCCAAGTATTTTAATTTACAGGGGATGCTAACTGAAGTAAGGGACCACAGGATAATTAAATACTTGTCATTAAATACCTTTCCAAGTACCAAGTCTGTCAATCCAGATTTCTTCAAGAAAACAGCTGCATCAGAAGCTAACACTCTTCCAGTATTAGCAGAATCAACCTGGGGATAGAAGAAAAAAAGCCAACTCACATCACAAACCAGCTTTCAAATTGATGGAAACTCACTACAGAAGCTATCAAAAAGCTAGCAAAGAATGCTCACAGCCACAGTGAGAATCTCTCTCAGCAAAGGCAGTGTAACACAGTATCAGCTGTGTTTATTTTTAATTTCACAGTAATTAGACTGTGTAAAATGAATAAGTTTATGATAGAACTGGAGGAGTACTAAGCATCAGTGCTACTTCAGGTGATGAATTTATTCTTCATTGGTACAGAAAGCTCTTAAGTGCTTCTAGTATGAAAGAAACAAGACATGCTCTACTAATACTATAAGAAAAAAGGGAAATGTCTTTCTAACACTGCTATTTTGAAAGCTGACATCTCCTTATATAAAGGAAGAGAAGGAAAAAGTTATCATGTGCATCTGAAAGTGTTTAGACAGTACATTCCAAAGTTACTTCTCAGTACCGATGCTTGCAGAAAAAGCATTTGGCTGAGCAAGTCAGAAGACTCAATTCCATAGAAAAAAATCCACTGACACAACACAGCTAACAGTAACATCAGGTTCAAGGAATCCCTGTGGCTGTATCCTGCTAAGACTGCCAGACGATGCTCCAGTGTCACTAGGCTGCATAAGCCAATGGATGCAAGATGCTAAGTGACTTCAGAAGCTGGATCATACTTGGCCTGTAACTCCCTTTCTTCATCCAACTTTTTGTTTCATACTTCAGTGATTAAGCAATTGCAACCATGAAGAAGGGACAGACAGGTGTGTGGCAAAGATCATCCAAGTCAGTGATACAGCCATTTGTATGGAGCTAGGAAATCTAACACGGAGAAAAGTGAGTTCCTTGTCTTTTCTTGTGCCCCTCTAATGATAAACATAATACGGTGTTCTCTAAAGGACTTGTATGCCTACAGAGAGAGATGACAAGTTTGTTCATCAGACTGAAAGATAGTTTTGTAAGGGTGATGCTATTTCTTTCAACTCTCTTAAGCCATCCTAACTGTGACCAAGGTAAACTCCCTTTCTTTGTTCATCAATTTCAAAACTGAAATGCCCCTTTCGTGGAGAAAGGTCCTTCTTAGGAAGTGAGTGCCCAACTTTTTGGGGCATTAGTTGATAAATGGTGCTATACGCCTTTTTTTTTTAAACCTGTTTTTATGAAAACAAACTTTTTTTTTTCCTTCTGGATCTAAATATAAAAGACAAATGACAAATTTTATTTATCAAAAGAATTTATGTCTACTGAGTGAAGCTGCAAGAACTGCACATATTCTTTTGGCATTCGGTTGCCTTTCACTCCTCACAGCACTGGGAAGAACCTTAAGGCACAGAGATGCAAGTCTTACATAAACCTAACTGGTCTACAAACACAGCAAAGTCAGTTTCACTTGTAAATGGAAAACAACCAACCACACCAGCACAGTACTTGGCAGGGAGTTTACTCCAGTCCAACTGCTAACAGTCCTCTTATTATAATTGATGTATGTTTGGTTGAATTGGCTAGCAAACTGCCATATATAAATCATCTTACACTTTCTTTTGTACTGACATATCTCAGACAAGTGTTAGTTACTAGAGAAATATATTGTAAGTCAGCAGTGTTTTTCTTGAACTTCAAACATTTACACTCTGCTGGCCATGCTGAAGTCTACAGCAAAGGAATATTCTTCTATGTAAAAGAAAGTTTCTTTTCTCAGCAAGAACATACGCACCTGTCGATAGAACTTCTCATACACAGGATTTGCACTTGACAGCTGTAAAGAAAAAAAAAAAGAGAAAAAAAAGGATATTCAATTAACCTGCATTTCAGCTCCCTTCTCCCTGGATGACTAGAGCTAGGAAACACTTTTTGCTGGTCTTCATAAAGCATTAAGCACTTACATAATTCTGTTTTGCAAAATGATGAGGACTGTTATACTGTAACTTGTAGAAGACTTGCTCCTTGTTTTGGAGCCACTGACACTAATCGCTATCAGGTTACTCTCAGACAGGTCACCAGGATAGGCAGCACGAAACAAATTTGTATGCAAGATCCAATACAAGCCAAGAAGCCTGCGATGATACAACCCCATAAGCGCTCGCTAATGAATACAAAGCAAGATAGCTGGATTTCATTACCCACTAAATCATCATTCAGAACTCAGTGCCTTAAGCAAGTAGCCTGCAAAGTTTTCAGATATCTAAGTAAGTTGTGGATTCCTAACTGAATTCACAGCAACAATTATTAAAAAAAATAGGGGAGCGAAGGGGAGGAGATATTTTAATCTGTATTGTTGCCAAAGATCCCTTCTGCCTTACTTTCACTACCACCTACCATACATCCAGAGCTCACCTAAACTCAAGCAAGGATTAAACAGCATCTAAACCTACAACTATTGCACTCTGACTTTGCTTTGGCCCTTCTTGTTTCAGCCACTACCTAAGCAGCCACTTACACAGCCCTTAGAATTGCCTGACAAAATACATTCACATTTTGCCAGACCTGACTACCACAGCACCAATACACCACTTTCCAGCACTTTCCAGCATGCCCCAAAGCATACTATACTTTCTCAATTAATTGTCAAGTGCTGCACTTATCAATTCACCTACAATTTTAATAGCATTTTAGAGGGGCTATTCCCCAAAACGTTCAAATGTTTTACTAAGTTCATTAATTCATCATAATGTACCAGTATAGACAAAATCTCATTAAAGCTAGGAGCAAAATACTGGAACAAAGTTGAGCAGTGTGAGCTCTAGAAGTAAAAGCCCACATCATCCCTCTTGCCCAATATCACTCTTTGTTCAGCCAAATGTTTCATTATTACAGCCAAACCTATCATTGTCACTCCTGGACAGGAAATATCATGTTGGAGTCCTGCAAGGAAAACAGTGAGTGCAAAACAATCTTCTCATTCAGCACTTGGAGCACAAGCCAGTCATTCTTATTTGTTTCAGCAGTGTTTCCAATGTTCACTTTAACATCATTGCAACAACTGGAATTTCCTGTGACACCAAACAGAATAAAAAAATTCCCAACTATTTTTTACTAGTAACTGACTTTTCCTGCAAAGTATACCCCACATTAAAAGGTATTAATATTGTCAGGAATGTGCTCTATCTGCAAGAAGAAAAACACTGCTCTGCTTCTGAAGGTGTTGCTGCAGAATTTACCTGTGAGCACTCCTTTTACGAGATTTGTAATATGCAATTGTAGAGCATAACCTCAACTTGTTCACAATGCAAAAAGGAAGGAGGGAGAAAAGGTCAGATTCCACTGCATGCAAAAATACAAAAATACATTATCATGTTTGCATTTAAAAGTTTATCACTTCACAAGAGTAACGTCTGTTCTAGTAATTATCACCTTTGTTACAAAACCTTTGAACTTCAGGATATTGTCCCAGGAAATAAAAAAAACCACCTTCAGGGACACCAGTCTTTTTCATTTTCTACAGGCACTCAAGCCTTTACAGCCATGTTTTCACCCCGCTGTCATGTTTCTACTTATGTCTAACATCCACAACCTTCTGTTGCTCATAGTGGTGAGAAAGCCCTGACTGGGGGGCTATCTGCAGAGGAAAAAAACTCACAAAAAACAAAGCATCCCTCCAAACCAAATGAGATAGGAAGTAAGATAGAAGGTGAGCTGTTCTATTTCAATTAAAAACCGAAATTCTGTATTCTATCATGATGCCAAGTTTTAGGATTTGTTTTCACTGTTTCCATGTCAAATGACACCATCTGGTAGTAAACATTCCACATGCAGCCATCCCCTTGCTCTTTCCTGGGTCTCAAGATGACTCACGATAGAAAAGAACCTTTCAGACACAGCGGGAATCTCAGCTCCCCATTTCAGAGAAGTTAAAAAGGGAAGGAAGAATAAAGTACAAGCAGTTCTTCTTCCATTATTAGAAGCAGCAGCCTCCTAAAGGTTGAGGAGAGTATGAAATTAGTCCATGAAAGACAAATGTAATGGCAAGGGACAACTACAACACCTGGAATCCCTATAGCAGTGCATAGCTTGGGAATAGGAATGACAGAGTTACAAGCAAACAACAGCACAACCACACAGCCGAAAAGCAGTGAAGTTTAAGGCAAGCTGTGTTTAATGTGATGTCCCTTCCGAACAATAATAAACCCATCCTTTCTCACACTGCCTTTCTTTCTTATTTGAAACATGTAATGGTAAAGCTTTCCATTGCTGTCTGTGCTAAGAACAACTCAACTTCAGCTTCATAGAAAATACACATGCTCAAACAATGCATCCATTGAAAGAAGTATCTGGATCTATTCTTTGTGTGTTTTTCCCCTCTATAAAATTCCTCCTTTCACATTGTTTACACCCATTCTTTTGGAATTTTGTCCTACTGAGGCCTAGATGGCACTTCCACATTCATCTGACCACACATCATTATATACTCCAAACTGTTAAACAAGAGCAGAGATTCTCTACAGGCATTTCTTGCTCATACTTTACATAGTCCACAGTATTCTGGAATCACACCTTTTTTATCACAGTTATGATGATGTTAAAAGAGTTACTGAATGAAAGCTTCGTTCAGATTGAAAGCTTTTCCCTCTCTAACAACACAGGTGAAATTAAGAAAATATTTGCTATAATCTATATGCATCTACAGCCATGCACTTGAAGAGTCAGAACTTTCATTCCCCTTAGGCAGTTGAAGCATGCGCAGAAACTGCCATCTTTCTTCTGCACAGACATCTGTCACTGCTTAATTAAATACTGTTCAATTTTATTCTGAAATCACTCCAGGAAACCTCAACCATCTTCTAATCAGTACTGAACAAAGTCTGTCAAACACAAAGAAGCAGCTCCACTGCCTTTCAGCCATTAACAAGGTCAATCTCAACCAAAAAATTAAGCCCTGTCTGCTTTACCAGCTGAAACACACATTCATGCACACACACTCAGATTTCCTGATCTTTCAGAGAGGGCAGAAAGCGGAAAAACAGATTTCTCATATCTATAAAATATGTACATATATTTAAAAATAAAAATCATTTTGTGATTCCTAACAACAATCTGGAGTTCACCAGATACCTGGAGAGAAAAAGAATTAAGTCACTGGAGAGCTTTGCTTTTTGGCTCTATTATAACATATCTATTACTACAAACCAGTCCTTCGCACTCTTGTGTATTTATATCCTATATACTCCAGTAATTGGATAGAAACCTAGCAGGTATGTAACTTAGCCTCATTCAGTAATATTCAGTGAGTCTTTTGGACAACACCACATAGAATTCCAGACACCCATGACACAATATGAGGCAAACAAAAGTTATCTTCCCATTCTCCCTGGATACTTCCATGCAGACCCACCTCGATTCCTCCAAACTTTCAATCACGCAGTTTGTCATGCTGAACCACAGCTTTAATTCTCAAAAGCAACAGAGCTTTTTTATGCCTGTATTACACCAGCCTTCAACATTCAGCATTCAACATACATACCTTCCATACTCCTGATATGCATTTTGTGCTTTTTCTATTTGCTTTTCCCTCTCTAAATTAAACAAGATAAGTAGCCATAGTTGGAAGGTCAAAAATGAAACTCTTCTCCTTGGCGATACTTGAGTTCTCCAACAACAGATGACACTGCTAGATACCAACACTTCCACCTCACTGGTACTGCTATCTTGTTTCCACGTTAAAGATACCTCAGATTATTACCAAAACTGGGGGTAAGAGAAGAGATAAACATGTTCATTTTGTAACGCTCTTTAAGTATACTCAATGTAGTTAATTTCATTACAGCTACGCAGGTTTGAAATGCGTTTAGTTATCAAAGTTCCACGTTTCTTAAGCAGAGCCTTAATATTCAAATAAAGGATGTCGGCCTTCTCAGACACCACAGGTGCAAAGCCATTTGAAAATACCCCAGTCTGATTTTGGAAACCCCCAACTTCCTAGCTGTGTTAAATCAGTCAAACCCACATGGAAAAGGGGAAAGAAAATCTGAGGCAACTGTGAGCTTGACTGCAGGTCAAGCATGACTGCTTCTGACTCTCTGCATGAGGTCTACATGCAGCAAAGGACCAGCCTGCATACTTCTCCTGGTGGTGTAAGTAATTGATCTCACTGTAGGTGGTAACTATACCCACCCTCCCACCCAACCCGTTCTCATTTTCACTTCCTCATACTACATCTAAACACATTCAAAACACTTACGATTTGTTAGGATTTTACAAAACTGTAGAATGCCAAGAATTACAACCTCATCTTAAGAAATTACCTTCAGGTTTGTTTGACTTTCTGAAATTATTCCTGTTCTACTCACCCTCCTTCCACTCACCAAAAAAAGAAACCCTCACATCAATGATCCACAACAACAGAAAATGCTTCCTCAATCTAACCACTGATGCAAGTTGCAGTCACAATGGTTTTAAGGATAGCGGCAATTTTTCTGCCTCTGTCAACATTAACACATTTCTATTTAGTTCCTCTTCCACGTGACCAAAAAAGTCAATAAATTCTACAATGACAGGATTACACAGCCTGTAAGCAATCATGTTTTACTGCAGAACGCTCTACAGCAGACACTCCTTCCCCCTCCCCACATAACGAGCCAGAACAGCCCGTGCCCATACAGCAGCCCACAGAATCAGTTACTGCTGTGTGCAAACTTTTTCAAATCTGTAGCATGGGGATGTTTCACACTTGAAATGACTGACGATTTCCTCAAAAGCCAGCTCCACTGGGGAATAACTGCAAATGGAGCAGCCTCACTCAGAACTTTGCAGTTGCCTCACGCGTGCTTTGGTGAGTCACACTTTTTTAGTAGCTTGTTTGTCGTTAAAATAAACGACATTATCGATGGTGGAATCAAAAAACCGCAGCAACCAACGCAGGCCCGCCAGTCGGAACGAATGTATCCCCGTCCCTGCTACACGAACCAGCCCCGCCTGCAGTTTACTACCTATCGACCCTCTAAGGAACGAGAGCCAGTACACCAAAGCGTCCCCACGGCACGCAGATAGCCGAAACGAGGTGACACGCCTTCCGTACCGGTACCTCCGTTGCTAAAGCACCGCCGGTACGTCAGAACATGGGGCACAGCCCGTGGCCCCCCCGAGCGCACAGCCGGCCCGCCGCCTCGCAGCCATCCGTAGCACCGCCGCGCCCCACGGCTCCGCCACCCGCCCTCGCCATCCGCGGGGCGGCTCGGGGTTTGTTTTCTGTTCGTTTCGTCGAAGCCAGCCGCTCCTTCCCCGAGACAAAAGCCCGACCGTGCTGACAGCCGCTGCGGCCCGCTGCGAGCCGCTCCCCGGCCGAGGAACGCCGGGGGCCGCGGGCAGAGGCACCTGCAGCCGCGCAGAGCCGCGCCGCGGGGCCGGCGGCGCCCGACCGGCTCAGGACTTCCCGCCCGCCCGGCCCACCCTCGCTCTGCGCCGCGGCCGCCACCTGACAGCACGGGGCTCGCACAAAGCCGCGGGCCGAGGCGGCGCCGAACCGCTCCGCGGGGGCCGCGCCGCTCGCCTCCGGCCCCGGGCCACCGCTCCTCCGTCCCGGGAGGCGGCGAGCCTCGGCCCGAGAGAGGCGGGCGGCCCCTTCCCCGCGGCGGAAGGTACCTGTGTCAGGGAGAGGTGGGCGGCCATGCTGCTTCCATCATGCACCGGCCGGGCCGCAGGAAGGACGCGCCGCGACCCAGCGCTCGCTGCCCAACTTCGGCAACTTCCCCGGACGGTCCCGGCCAAAACCCGGCACCGGATCCCCGCCCGCCGGCCCGGAGCCGGAGCCTCCGCCCTCAGACGGCAGCGGTAAAGCAACGGCGGGCGGCGGAACACGGCTGGAGCCGGAGCGCTGGAGGCGGCTGCGGCAAAAACCCGGAGCAGCAGCCATGATACGGATCGGGTCTCGTATTTGGCTTTCCCGTACGGCCCCGCTGGCCCCAATGCTCCACGCGTTCCGAGCTCCCTGGCTCAGCCGCCGCCCAAGCTGGGGAAGTCCCCAGACCAGAGCTGCAGCATCTCTGGGACTTGGGTTGTGACAATAGGGAAAAGGGCCCAAGAGGAATCGGCATGGATCCGACCCCGGTAGGGTCCCTGCCATAGGTACAGTGCCGCAGGGCACGGACTCATACAGGAGCTGCCGCCGTACCTGCTCCCTCCCACACAGCAGCTATTTTGGTCGCTCCCCTGACCGCTTTGCACTACCACAAAGTCATACATCAGGAACCGAGGGGGGAGGAAAAGCATTCTTATTTTTGTACTCGTGCCAAAGATGGACCAGGTATGAGTCTAGCACTCAGACCAGAGGAAATTATCAGGACTCGTATCTATTGGAAAGAGTGCATTGTGCCTTCCTCTGTTTCTTCATTCCCTACCATTGAAATCCTTTTCCAGCTCAGTTTCACACTTATGCTAATGCTCACACCCACCTCTGCAGCCTGTCAGTCCTCAGTCCTTGTTGGCTGCTGTCTACATCTGCCACAGGACACGTGGGATCCCTCTTTCTCATCTCTTCTCTAATAAAGGTTTTCTAGAAGCTCTGCTCTGCTGACCTCTTTCTGGGAGGAAAAAAAAGACTATACGGAAGGGAAGAATATTAAAAGCAAATAGTATAATGTATTCACACCATTCTCATTGATTGTCACACCTCTACCTCATGTTCATTTCCTCTGAAGTAAAATTCCTAGAAAATAACATATGCTCTTATCTTTGTAGGTTGATTTTTTCATCTGTAATTAAAATTGGAATACTATCCCACAATAATTAGTATCTGGAAAATAAACCAGAAGATTGTGAAACCACAGCCGTGTCTCCATGGGACAGCAGTACTGGAGCTTGTCAGTGTTTGTGGGGCACAGAAGAGAGTGCTGGATCACCACCAGCTGCCAGAGGCTTGAGGCAGGAAGTTAGAAGCTAGCGGGCAGCTCTGGGGATGTGGTTCTGGACCTCTACAGCTACAGCTCCTTTCAGTGCACATGGTCAAACGTGTGACCGCTCAGCATGGAGTCACAGTGCAAGAATCACTCAAGGTAATTATGTGGGCTCTGCTAATTAAAATAATAATGAGCTCCGATCAGTCAATACTGAGTTGGGGCAGTCATGGTGTTGAGTGTTCTGGGCCTCCTGCAAAGGAGTCCTGTCTTGGATCCCAGCTACCTGAGTTAAAACAGCTAGCTGGCCTCTGACATCTCTGTAATAATTACAGCAGCACTCATCAGCTTGCTGCCACTGAAAGTGCGCTGCAGATTTCTGTGAATCTAGACATGACAGCTCCCAGGAGAAAGCAGCTATCTGCTTCTAAGCCAGAATCAAAATCTCAAGAGGACATGGAGAACAGTACTAGTACGCTGTTTCAGTGCAAAACCCCTTTTTAAGACACTGTGCAAGTGTGCAATAGGACTTGTGCTAGTACAGCCAACTTGAGTCTGAAGCTGCGCTACAACTGTACAGTTTAGAAGGGCCTCACACAAGTGAGAATCAGATGCTCACAACCTCTGTGTTTTATACATCTCTTATAGTCATCTTATAGTACCTTTAGTAAGGCTAATAACATTTTAATGAGATCCGCTGGTCTCCCTGGAAATAACATCTAAATGACCATGCCTTCCTTTATTATAGCATTGTTTGTGGCTCTGCACACAGGAAGCCCACTATTTTTCTTCCCAAACAACACGTAGGTATTCTGTGTGACCTGTTCTGCTCGTTCTAGGAAAAGTATTATTACACTCCATGAATGCTCTGGATGCTGACAGGAGAGCTGACTCACTCCTGCCTCCTGCACACCTCAACATGAAATGACTTAGCCAGCTTTCTGGTATTTCAGCACAAGGCAAGTTAGGAGCTCTGATACTACAGACACCAAATGGAGGATTGAAACTGTGAAATGAAACCCCTTGGATTTTCACAGAACAAAAGGAAATGTTGCACAAGCACACAACATCCTGGGGAAAAAAACTGCAATTCTCTGATCAAAGAGTGGAAATAAAAGACTCGCTCACAGGTAGGCACCGACTGTTTTAGGCTTCTTTCAGAAAGCCAACAGCTGGGCTCCTGACACACAGCAGCATTTTACCACACTTCTGGTGCTGATAGATCCCTCCTGAGAAGTGAGATCAGCACAGAACTCTGGTGACCTTTTGGTCTGAAGGTATCCAAATGTCAGAGTACTTTCCAGGACCAGTGATACAAGTTGTTTTAGGAGATCCCAAATGCTGGTGTGTCTCTAAACAGTAACACCCCCCCATTGCTCTATGTGCTCTTTATGCTCTATGCAGCTGCGAGTTTTGTGGATGTAGGATTCCTGATAGGCTGTTATGTTTTAAAGGCCATAAGAGACCATTAAAATAATCTAGCCTGACCTTCTCTGTAAGATTTTCCATGGGTATCTGTTAATTTTTTGCATGAAGCCTGTCATGCCTGAGTGCTACAGCATATCTTCTACAGAGATGCCAAGTTACCAGCAAACTACAGCAGTCATTCTGAAAGCTGCATCCTAATGACTAATCTGCTTACTCCTCTGGAGCTGTGCTCTTGGCTCCTCGTGGTGCTTTGCAGGCAGTTACAGATGCGTTGAAAACATTTTAAAGGGGGTTGTGGGAAGATCAAATTCATACAAAATGGTGGCAGTGTTAAAGGAGCACAAACGAGGACATTAAGGTATCTTTACATATTTACTCAGCACAGTTTTCTGTTCTGGCAGTCTTCTGTCACATAACAATAGAGTGCAGGATGGAATAATTGGTTTTACCTCCGTTTTGGGGAAATTATACAATTTCTATTGCAAATATTGAGAAACCCAAAAAGCAAAACCATTTCTGAACCATGATATTTAGAATTCTTATGAAGAGACTAGGAATTTATAAGACTGTAAGCATATTTTGTCTAATTTATATGGGCCAATCTCATGGGGCAACACCTCAAGCCTCAAAAGAATTAGATAAAATGTATATATTTATTAAGAATACTAATCTGATCTCTAGTATACTAGATGGATGACACGCAGCAGAATAACATTTTTCACAAAGCAATTAATTTTTAGCTGAAGATCATGCTTAGAAACCAGAAAAATCTTCAACAGCATTAATGTGACCACATGTTTAATAGTTGAAGATGCAGCCATTCAATGTACAGCCTAATATGCACTTGGATAGAAATAGAACAAGCATTACCACTGATGCAACAGCAACAGTCTTCATTATAAATTAAACACATCAATATTGTAATGCGTGTTGTATATTCAATAGTAATGAAGATTGAAAACTAATATGCTTACAAAGCAGCAAGCAAAAGAGCTTATCCTTTGTTCTGTTTCTCCTGAGGCATGCTGTCTATACTTCAAGTCCAGGCAATGCAAGATTTGCCTTCCCAAAACAATTACAGGTCTACTGTGTTTTAAAATGAATGTGTTTTAAAAATCTACCTGCTAAATTCCCAGCATGGCCCTAACATAAAACTAATCCACTGTGCCTATCAGAAAGATTCTTATTCATTTCAGAATTATAGGATACATAAAGAAATTAGGTAAAAGAATGTGTTATTGAACCTTACAATTGTTTTTCTACTCATAGATCTGTTCATCTAAGACAAACTCATGACTATTTATGGCATTATGCCATTTTGAGGGCATTACTGTATATCTTGGCCGCCTTTTTCTCTTCTTATAAATTCTTAGTGTCTTCTCAGTTTTCCTTCATTTTCTTCTACTCTTAGCTACAACCCCAAGAGAATATCAACATGGTTTGGAAATAATGGAAAAAATGAAATAAAATAATGAAATAAAATTATTGCATTAATGCAATAATATTGGCCATAAGGAAAAAAAAAAACAAATAATCCTTTTATTTCTATTTAGTTCTATTTCTATCCAAGTGCATATTAGGCTGTACAAGGAATGGCTGCATCTTCAACTATTAAACATGTGGTCACATTAATGCTGTTGAAGATTTTTTTTGTTTCTAAGCATGATCTTCAGCTAAAAATTAATTGCTTTGTGAATAATTGCTTTCCCAAATCACTCACCCAGTACTTCCAAGTCTTCAAGCTAAGCACTGATTCAAGCACTAAAAAAGCAAAACACTTAAACATGCACTTAAACTCGTCCTTACTCAGGACAACACAACAGTCATGCATTTAATTTTACATTACTAGAACTCTTTCCTGTGTTTAGTCATGTTCCACTTGGTTTCAGCAATAACCTCTCTCATGTACATGATCTGCAGCGATGAGCCCCATGGTGACAGAACAGAGCTGTCAGGGGGGCTACGGTACCATGACTGCCAAAGGGATGGCGAGCAGATGGGTCAAAAGCCATAACAACAATGGAAAATCAATGGCATTCAAAAAGGTTTCAATGATTTCGCCCTCCGTGGACAAGGCTGATTTCACTATGTTAGCTAACCATGATTAAGCTACATTTAAAGCTGTGCTAATTAAAATGTGTGTCTCTACGCCTTTGTTGTTATGGAGGAGATCATAAATTATTGCCAATAGTGAGAAAGGAGAGCAAAGCATTACTTGCCTCCATCGGTAGCAGGCATATATGCTGTAAGAGAGACTGCAGGCTGCACTTCATATTGAATTTGTATAGTGCAGTCCCTTCTGCATGCTGAAGGAATTTGGGGTGATTCAGCAGGAAGTTCTTCTTGCTGCTCTCCCCCTGCTCAGAATCACTCCTGCTGTATGTCCATATATGAGAAAGCCCCACCTTGTGGGATTATTTTTGATTTAATGCTCTGTAGCAGGGAGAGAAATATGTTCTGCTCCTTGGCCAAAAATTGCACAACACTGGCAGGCAAAGTGTTCCTTTAAGTGCAAAACAAATAATCCCACTGGTGTCAGCATGTAAGAGTGAGGAATGCTGCCTTAAAACCTTCCTTGTTTTTTTGAACTACTCACATGTAAT